TTCAACAGTCATTGAATGTCACAGAGCAGGACTGAAGAAGTCAGCATTTGGTTTTGCTGCAATGTTGATGAGACCAGAGTACCGTAATAAAATTGATCTGAAATACAAAAAGAAGATTGAAGCCATGGTTAGGTGAGTTGTCTCTGTGTAACTGAAGTTTGGAACTGCATTGATAAAAGTTAGCTTGAGAGCATTGTGGCAGTACTCGAAAACTGCAATTTGATGCACACTTACTTGGGAGTAAGTCCTATGAAATGCAGAAGAACTTACTTTTAAGTAAATATGCATTGGTATTGGCTGTTAAGCAGAGTTATCCACAACCACAAATTTTAGTCTGTGCCCTGCAGGCAACACATGTAATAATATTACATGCAAAAGCAGGATCCAGGAGACATTTAAATTGTTTTGTTACGTATCAACCTGATTTATTTGAAGACCGCACTCCAGAAAGGTTTGATAATGTTGCCAAACCACCATATATGAAAATAAGTACCTTTGACTGCCTACCCCCTCCAACAAGTAGCATTGACCTCTTTAGATATTTGGGGTAGCCTCACCTGTGTATAATGCCACCTATGCAGAAGTTTTAATATTTCCTGAGTTTTGCAGAAACCGATGTCAAAAATATATTTCATAAGTACTAGTGTTCCAGAGGCAGCTAATAAAGTCATTTACAGTAATAACTGTATTGCAAAGCCAATCTGCTGAATTGTCATCTAGTTGGAAGAATAAAGGCACTGTGGCTCTCCAGATGTTGCTGGATTATTGGAGTTGTGGTCCAAGTTTAATCTTGGCTTCCTGCAGACTCTGGTTCATATGCACATTTTAATGATCTATTGAATAGTTCTTTTTAGCAAAGGCAGGTGGTGAAAAATTAGTGATTGTTCCTGCAGCAGGTTTAGATGTGTAAAGGCACTAAGATAAAAAACTTCCTTTTATGAGAGCATGAGAATGATCAGTCTAATCCAGTGCTTTTTTATTTTAAAGAAAAAGAAGGTGACAGTATTCACCATGAAGTTGTCACAGTAACTGCCACACTATTAACACTTTGGGGGGTTACAAAGTACCCTTGAATAGCCCCAGAAAAATAGCACCGGAACTCTAAAGCAATTAAAAAGGTGGAATGAGACATGGGTTCTTTATGAATGGTTTGAACAGGTTTTCAGGAGAAGGTAAAAATAGAACATAAAGCTAGCCTCTGGTTTGTTTCCTCCAGCCTGGCAAGGGAGCAGAGGAGGAACAAGTTTGGAACTTTTGAGCTACATACATCAGCATGCTGCTTATTTGCATTAAGCATCTTTCATTACATTTACTCACATTTATCATTAGCAGAGCTAAGCCTCTGTAAGCTAGGAAAGCACTTCTGCTATCCTCGTAGATAAAAAAAACCTGTCTTTGTTAAAATGTCTTAATGGAATTTCTTTCTTTCTACTAACAGACGACCTGACACAGCCGAAGCGGAAGAGCCCACCACCCCATGTCCCTACTGTGAATTCCTGCTGCCTGAATGTGAGCTGCTCTGTCCTGGCTGTAAAAATAACCTCCCATACTGTATTGCCACAGTAAGTATCATTTGAATATAATAGACTATTCTTCAAGAAGGTGTAACTGTTCTTACCTTAAATTTTTAATGCTGAAACTGAAAAATCCTATTATTTGAAAGTGGTCCACACTATTTCACACTATTTGTTTCCACTCTGCAAAATCTCAGAATTTTCTTGCTTTTGAATGTTACTTTTAGATTTTGCACCCTTTGGTGCCCCCCCCCCAGCTATATGTCGTTGGTTTAGAAACAAGTCACTTGTAGCATATGCACCCAATGGCCCCTGTCCACTCTAGGTTGATGCAGAGCAATTTGGAATATTTTCCACCAGGTTTAATCACCCTCTTTATTTTAGGGACGTCATATGGTAAAAGATGACTGGACTGTGTGCCCCCACTGTGACTTCCCCGCCCTGTATTCAGCATTCAGAAAGTAAGTTGGAATCTTTTTCATCTTCCTTTAGGATATTACTTAAATGCCAGAGACATTTACCATGATCCTCAAAGCAAACCAGACACTAGATCAATTCAACATATACATGAGATTTGCAACCAATCATCTGTCAAGTTTATTTTGAATTAAAATTTGAACTTCAGCTTTGCTCACCTCTGAAACTCTTGGCCTTGCACACCTCTTTTGTACCACTGTGTACACTAGATTTCTCTTCAGCTAGGTGGCACCATAACCTATGCTTAGCCAAGTATGCCCTTCAGGTAGGCACCAACCATACTTTTTCCTTTTCTGCTCAGACTTCTCATTATATCAATTCTTTAAGCCAACATAAAGCACCATTAGAGCCAGTGTGGTGTAGTGGTTAAGAGCGGTAGACTCCTAATCTGGGGAACTGTGTTCGCGTCTCCACTCCTCCACATGCAGCTGCTGGGTGACCTTGGGCCAGTCACACGTCTTTGAAGTTTCTCAGCCCCACTCACCGCACAGAGTGTTTGTTGTGGGGGAGGAAGGGAAAGGAGAATGTTAGCCGCTTTGAGACTCCTTAAAGGGAGTGAAAGGCGGGATATCAAATCCAAACTCTTCTCCTTCTTCTTCTTCATTACTTTCTCACTTTCCATTCCTAGGCCCCTTTTTGCATAAGTCCTTCTGCCTACCCTGCCCTTCTCTAGGATCATTGTATTCCAGCCAAATAGAACTTGTCTGCCCTGCATCTCCGTGAACTCTGCCAATCAGTGCCAGAGGCTCCATCACAAAACTCCATAGCACATTACAGTTAGGTTACAATTGAAAGTGTTTGTGTGTCTGCGAGTTCTTCATTAACATTTTAATATGTATTGACTGGCTAGGATCATGTCCAAGAAGCATTCATTTCCTTTATTCTAAACCAGCTTTATTTGCCCTCAGTGAAGTCAGCATGTGGTCAAAATTTACTGCATACATAACTTTGTGGCATCCTAAATGATCCTTGGTTGGCTGGGATAACTCTAGGAAACAGGGCAAGGCTCTAGCCATCTGCAGTGGAATGGGGAAAACAGTGCATATAAACATATTTGAGAAGTTGCAAATTTGCACGTATGATGGGTTTGTGGGGAGAACATCTCCACTTTCTGGCCAAGCACTTTTAATTCTGAAAATTGAAATGGACATTTATTTATCACAACCCTAGGAATATTTCTGAACATTTAACTTGACTTGTACGACTAGTATTACAAGTTCTGGGGATCATCTGATAAAGGCAAACAGCCTTTTTTAGTGGCTGGTCTCCCAGAGTATTCTGGACTTCATGTTAGGACACTGAGCTGACTCTAGGAGCAGTCCATGTGTTCACTGCATTTTTGCGGTTGGTGATATTAGGAATCTATTCCTGTTTGGCACATTCCAAGTGCTGAAACCTGACAACATAGGCAGCGATACTTTTTAAGGGTATGCAGCCTCATGTACCTTCAGCATCAACAAAGCACTTGGACAAAGAGAATCCCTTCCTCCATTGCCCCAAGGTGCCAAAATTATTCATCTGTAAGACCAGGCATAGGCAAACTCTGGCCGTTCAGGTGTTTGGGATTACAATTCCCACCATTCCTAGCTAACGGGACCAGTGGTCAGGGATGATGGGAATTTTAGTCTCAAAACATCTGGAGGGCCGGAGTTTGCCTATGCCTGTGTAATACAGACACAAACTATTTTGACCAATATAAAATAAGCAAAATGACAGGTCACCCTGTATTAGGCATGTTGTGAAAATGTGTCTTTCTTAAACAGCTTGTTACAGTATGAAAGCACATGTCCCATGTGTTCAGAAAAAGTTGAGATTATGAGCCTTAAGAAAACTGCTGACTGTACACCATACCTCAAGCCTGAAGTGGAGCAATGATTGTAGTCAGGTAAGTGTTTCAACCTTGGGTCTCATTTCTAGAACTTCATAGCATCTTATGGACTAAATTTTTATTTCGTTAATGTCTAAGGGAGCAAACTGTCCAACTGGTGTCTGGTTTCTCTGGCAGTGATTAAGGGATATGGTTCTTGTTCTGACTTCCTCATTGATGACCTATATAATCACTGAGCCACCCAAAATAAAATAAAAAATGCAAATGTGGCATAGGTTTAAAATGGGTGTACTGGGAAGTTAGGAATCCTAGGGCTCTACTTCATTTCAACCATCAGGTTGCGGTTACTTCTGAAATGGCAGCAGCCTGTGTTTCATATGGCACAGGACACCCAGGCAGGATGTTTTTAGATCTTACTGCCAGTGGTAGCTGGGTGAAAGGCTATGAACGTAGTAGTGCAGTGTTGTCTGCATCATGTTGATTTGGCGGGGAAGGAATGCAGAGAAACCCTCAAGAGCCATCAAAGAGGTGATGTGATTACAGAATCATAGAGTTGTGTTGCTAAGGGCATCTAGTCCAACACACTGCAATACAGGAATATCAAAAATTTAATGGAATATTGAATACTTTTAAATGCTAAAAATAATAGGTAGTTTGTGGTCTTATATAGCACCGAGGGGAATTTTATAGAAGAGTTTGTTGAAATAATGTAGAAACATAATTTTAAAAGTTTGCCACTTGTTCTCATTTTCCCAGAATGTTGAATCTATATAGTTTGCGACATTTCGTGTTTTTAGCTACCAGACTGGTGTTCTCTAATACAAAATGTTCAGAGTTAGAACATCTGTGTTTATTTTCAGGAGATAGTGGCCAGCCAAATGCTGCAACGCTAGAGGATGCTTCAAAACTTTAAGCCCAGTTGGTACGGCTATGCTTGAAACTATTTTATAGTTTATCAGATCTGTGAAACTGTAAATATTTCTTTTATAGAAATTTTGTACTATGGCCTTTTTGGTTTACAATAAATTTTTAATGCTAAAAATTAGTCTTAAATCTATGTAGCTGGCAAGATTTCTTGAAGATGGCAGGGGCAGGGGGGAAGTAGAGGACAAATTTGATTATTTAGGCCAGGGCCTAAACCCCTGTCGGTGTAAGATACAAGAAGTAAAAAGAAAAATTGGTTAAAAATATGAAATTAGTTTTATTGCAATTTTTAAACATTGCTGTGTTCTCATAATGTACAAAAGAGACCAATCTATATACTATATATATATACAGGAATTGACAACATAATAGCTATTTTTAAAAAGTATCAGCTTTGCACAGATGAAATATTGTAAATGCAACAAACAGGCCAGTGTTTATTTTTTCTAGATGTTGTTAACTAAGCCACTGCGCATACAAATCAGTAGACAGAGAATTGCATTTAGTCCTATTTATTCAGTATATTACATATTTGTATTTGTGTAGTGACGATAATCAACACCCCCAGCATAAAGTAACAGTTGCATAGCTGGTTCGGAGCATTTGTCAGCACTGAACCATTTATTTAGACTTCTTCTTTGCTTTCCCCCTTTTAACATCTCCGTTCCTTTTTGGTTGCTTAGCAGTCTTGGTTGTCTTCTGCAGAAAAAGAATCAGTTTTTAAGTCAGATGAAAACGTTTCGGTCCCGAGGAATACTAGCACACTCTGCAAATTGCTTTTAAGGTCTCTAAAAGCACTAGGGCTGGGCAATATGGTTTTCAGCACTGTGATATATAATGTCTGAAATGTATCTGGCTGCTTCCTCCTCTCCATCTTAGGGGAGGAAGAAGTAGGCAGCTACATTGCCCAGCCCTTCAGCTGAGGAAGCCCCTTACCATACCTACAAGCTGGAGGGTAGGGTTACAGGGGCTTCCTTAAGCTGCTCTCTGTGTTGCCTCCTCATAAGTGGGAGGGGCAGTCTCTTTCCTCCTGGTTCGTCACGTAAGACCAGCCACTTGCTTGTGTGGGACTGGGTGCCCCTCCCTCAAAAGCACCTGGCTGCCTTCATCCAAGCAGGGGTGCTGCGTCTTTACCCTGGTCAATCACCCTGCAAGTAAAGACACAGTCCACCCAGTAGCCAAGCAGGTGGAGCATGTAAGGCTTTGGTTGCAGGGTTTCCACCCACCGAGGGGCACGCAGCTGCCTGTGGCCCGGGGGGGGGGGGCTTGATCAACCAAGAAGCAGGCTTCCTTAAGCCACCCGCTTCTCAGCTGGCCAATACCCCCCCCCAGGTGGGGGCTTCATTAAACTGTTCCACTGCAGAGCAGCTGAAAGAAGCATCTTGCAGGTGAAACAGCAGCCACTCCTGCGTCCCTCTGGTGGCAGGAGCAGCAGCTGCCTCACCTGTGATACGCCACTGGATGAAGCAGCCATCATGGTCTGGCCCATGTATCAATATATCACCCAGGCCAAAAAGCACACATTTCATTTAAAACAAACCACCCCTCCGCCCCAAGGGAAGCTGTAAGGAAAGAGAAAGTATGAAAGGATAAGTTGAGCAGAACAAATAAATAAAAGCATCTTTCCTGTAATACTTCCCTGCTCACACTTCTAAGTTCAGTGAACATTTAGAAAGGATGGGAATGAAAACCAAATGATTATAAGGAAAATTATACAGATGAAGAAAAATAACGTCACATTTTATACAGTGGTGCCCTGCAAGACGAACGCCTCGCAAGACGGAAAACCCGCTAGACGAAAGGGTTTTCCGTTTTGGAGGCGCTTCGCAAAACGAATTTCCCTATGGGCTTCCTTCACAAGACGAAAGCCCATAGGGAAATCTCCGGGACAGCGGGGAAGCGCAGCGCGTCTTCCCCACTGTCCTCGGACCTCCTCCGAAGCCAGGCGGTGGGGCGGGAACACCTCCTCCCACCGCCCGGCTTCGGAAGGATGCTCCGAAGCCAGGCGGCGGGGCAGGAACACCTCCCACCGCCGCCCGGCTTCGGAAGGCTCCTCCGAAGCCGGCGGCGGGGCGGGAACACCTCCCGCCGCCGCCCGGCTTCAGAAGGATGCTCCGAAGCCTGGCGTGGGGCGGAGAGACCTTCTCCCCGCGCCAGCCTTCAGATGGCTGACCTGAAGACTTGCGGTGGGAGGAGGGTTTTCCTTCCCACCGCCAACATTCAGAATGCTGTTCTGAATGTTGGCGGTGGGGAGGAAAAACCCTCCTCCCACGCAAGCCCCGGGAACAGAGGGAAAGCACTGCGCGCCTTCCCCTCTGTTCCCGTACCTGTCCTGAAGGCTTGCGGTGGGGAGAAAAGCCCTTCTCCGCACCGCCAGCCTGGCAAGCGGTTTCCCTAGGAACGCATTAATTGATTTTCAATGCATTCCTATGGGAAACCGTGCTTCGCAAGACGAAAAACTCGCAAGAAGAAAAAACTTGCGGAACGAATTAATTTCGTCTTGCGAGGCCCTGTACTTCATGCCAGAAATCAGTAGTATTGAGGACAGTTTCTATTAAATTACAAGGTTTCACAACTGCAACACGGTTAGCATGATAGAATAATGTATCATGGCAACATTTCTTCAGTAAGGAAAGATGGCATATGAAGACATCAACTTGCCAGTTTTCAGAGATGTTATAATACTAGTTTGCTTTCAGTAAGACAAACCATGATCCTCGTAGGTTTAGATGCACTGTAAACTATTACCCCTGGTTTACCATGATATACAAATAAGGCCACTACTACATTTACTCATTGTTGGTTCCCCACAACATCTGCTTCCATGGGAAATGGAACATGGAAATACACAGAGTATGCAGTGGAACTGCATTCCATGTGTCTGTCGAGAAATGCAAAGGTCCAAGATAACTGCTATTTCCCACCTGCAAATCTTCCCTGAAAAGTCTGTATGGGTTATTAATTTTCACATAATATTTTCCACACGTACCTCCAGAGGAATAATTCCAAAAGCTTTTGTGGAAAGCAAGCATTCAAGGGCTACCCTCAGCTTCCAACATTATGAAAACATATGACAGTAGCAGGCTCTAATTTATTTTCCTGCTATGAACAAGTCATCTGTTGCAAGCCGGGGGGGGGGGGTTACTAAGGATTTAAGAATCAAGGTGTCTGAACACTTTTGGCCCCAACTTCAGACCAATCACTTTACTGGTGTAAACAAGACTTAATAAAAACACACACTGGCATATGACAGAAGCCTTGTGCAAATCAGTCCCTGGTTTTATTAAACCTTTAAAGATGGTTTGATTTTCCCTGGCATTTAACTGCCCTGTCAGCCAAAAAATGTTACCTTAATCATTGCATCATTTTCAATAGTGTCTTGCTCATTCTCAGACGGGATTTCTTCAGCTTCCAGTTCTTCATCCACCGTCGATCCTGCTCGTCGATTCGCCTTATGCACCACTTGCAGAGAATATGGTGCAAGGTGTGCCTCTTTGTTATAGGCTCGCGTGAAGGCAGATTTAACCTGCACACAATAAAGGAAAGACCTGGAGTGAGGCACTGAAGTTTCTCTGTGGCCGCTTACCAGCTGTGAGCAGCAGTTTTGAAGCAGCATTCTGGGGAATTCAGGAGTACCGTAAGGGCAATAATAGCAGACAAGGTTTTCTGAAGAGACAACTTTTCCATTACTGCTGATCTTTTCAAGTAATGTGCAAATGCAGAAGGCAGGTGTTTGCCAGCCTTCACTCAGTTCACATGAAGTAATGGAGTCCAACAAGCCTGAACACCATGCCTTGGAATGCTCTGCAACACACAGTGGTTGCATGAGAAGATGTAAGGATGTTTGAAAACCACTGTGTTAGGTTTAAACTGAACCTTGTTAGGTTTAAACTGAACCTTAGCTAGGACACATCATCCCCAGTAAAACAAAACAAGGGTAGAACATTTTGAAGATAAAAGGAGAGGAGGAGGAAAAGGGTCCCAGCCAAGGAGAGCAGTCCAATGTCAAGAACATTTCCTCACCATAAAAATCATTCAAGAGGTGTTTATCTGACTTGGGGTGGATGGGAGCAGAGTTGGTGGATAGATCCAAAGCTAAAGTTGTTGGAGTAGAGTGGAGCTACCCATTTCCATTCTGTCAAACCTCTCCCTTCTTTCTCAGCCATAAATATCCTGTGTGCACAGCAGTTAGTCTTGGGAAAAGGTCCCATTTATGGCTAGGGCAGGGCTAACCCTCCCACCACAATTGAGCCTAATTGTTGTGTGCAGGGGAGAGATTGTGGGCTGGACCCCAAACATGCTGTGGGCCACATCAGACCCATGGGCCAGTATTTCCTCATCCTTGAAAGGGAATAAAATCTTCCTCTTAAGAATAAACTCTCACTTTTGGGAGGTTCCCAAATACTGACAAACTGACCTAAGTATCTGAACATGTGAGCTCTAACCCACAGAAACTGAACCTTGCCTGTTACTATCTTCCTTAGGCCTTTCTGCTCGCTCGCTCTTCTTTACCTGCAAGGGCCTGTCTCATGTATCAGCCAACCCAAAGAATCCCATATGGCAAATCTAGTTGACTTCTGAAGCAGTCGATTAATTGGCCCACCTACAACCTTATCTGTTCTGCTCTGAGCTTATTTGAACAACAAGATCTAAACATTCTAAAAAAAACCCCACTGCTTATATAATCAACCTAGTGACTAATACCATGCAAAGGCACTGACTTCAGCTAGCTGAGTACCTTTGTATGTTAGGAGAAAGATGAGCTATACACGCCCTAGTTAGTGTGGAAGGCACCTGGAATCAAGTGGGTAACTCCCTATATGGTTTAGGCTGGGGGACGTAATCCTCTCTGCCTTTGATTCTCCCTTCACATCTGCTAGAAGGAATATTCGCAATAAGTAATCTGTGTTTCCAGGAGGCACAGACAGTGGCGGAGCATCATGGCCCAGCACCCGGGGGGGGGGGCGGAGAGCAGGGGGGATGGCGCACATCCTGGGGGCGGGGAATGCTGTCCACAGACAGCTTTCCGGGTCATGTGGCCAGCATGACTAAACCACTTCTGGCACCACAGAACACCGTGACGAGTGCCAGAGCACGCGGAAACGCAGTTTACCTTCCTGCTGCAGCGGTACCTATTTCTCTACTTGCACTGGTGTGCTTTCAAACTGCTAGGTTGGCAGGTACTGGGACAGAGCAACGGGAGCTCACCCCGTCATGTGGATTTGAACCGCCAACCTTATGATCAGCAAGCTCAAGAGGCTCAGTGGTTTAGGCCACTCAAGGATGCCTCCTACGTGCACCAGACGCAACATTCACAGCAAACACCCGATGTTCCATTTTGAAATGGGGGGGACGGGGACATATGAGAATCCTATTTAAGGAAGCCTGTAAAATGTTTTTGGCAGACACAATCCATGTAAGAGCAACTTACCTTGGAATCAATTTTAGAAAATTCACTAGGCTTGCCTCCCCAACTGGTTATTTCCATTAGGCTTTCGACATCTTCCTTCATCAAGCAGTAAGTATCCATAAATGCTACAGCCTCCTGCACTCCATCTGTTCCCAGGCAAGTCAAAGGTTTCACAATTGCATCTCTTAAGTACGACAAATAGTCCAGATTTACTGCTCTCTTGCTTGCATGTGTCCTATAGGGAGGGAGAAGAAGCATTATGTGGGTTTCCCCCTAAAGCCTTTCTGAAGGCAGGGAGGGCTCGTGCTCTGCATACAGGCAATCTCAGGTCCCATCGCTGCCATACTCTAGTGAACATCACTCAGTGGGTTGAGGTATAGCCATACTTCCAGACTGGCATAAAGCAGATGTAAGTTCATCTGAAGGGCAAAACAGAGGCAGGAGGGCGTGCTTAGCATGTTGGAAAGTACCTATGTGCCAAGCAGGCAATGCGGCTCAGGGGACTACTGATAAAGGTGAGGAGTCATGCAGCAGGATCTTCCACCCAAAAAATACTCTCTAAACCAGAATTGTTCTGCCCAAAGGACACCCAAAATACTATGAATGCAGCAGTCATCTACCTGAAAACGTAACATGTTTAAGATCTATCTTGCAGAATGGGAATACCAGTTTCATGCAAAGTCAAGAGAGAATGCGGGTACTGAAAAAAATGTGCAAGAACTCAGCATGTTGACCCATTTCCTGTTGATAAATTGTGTTCTGCAGAATTCTAATTACAGAAGATTATACAAAATGCTTTGCGGGATTCAGTAACCAGCAGTAAAAAAGAATCTCACATTCTAAACCTTTGGCAACTTGATCACTGTGGCCATGTTTACACAATTAACAACCCTGTGAGGTAGATTAAAAGGCTGTGACTGGCCCAAGGTCAGCCAGTGAGCTTCATGACTGAATCGGGATTTGAACCCTGATCTCCCAGGTCTGAGTCCGACACACTAACCACTACACCACCCTGGCTTCCTACAGTCCTTCTGCTATGGAGCAGCTATATAAAGTAGGTAAATAAATATGGGGAAAGCAAAATGTCACAAAATATTTTCCCTGAAGCTTGCATTTGTTTTATTTGATGTTTTAATGTGCTGCAAACTGCTTTGTGATTTTTTTTAAATATAAAGCGGTGTAGATATGAGATGAATAGTAACAATAAATTTCAAAAGGGGGGGGGGAGGCGGTACGAAAACATTCTGTTGTGGTGACTGAAACCTAGTTTCAAGTGCCTTTTGGCTTATATATCTGAGTTTCTAACACTGTCCATAATAGGGGAATTTGCAACACAGGTCACCGGGATTACCTGAGGCTCATGTGCATCGACAGCTCTTGCATGATACGGTCGTGCTTTCCTGTTGATGAAAATTTGCCCAGCCAGCTTGGGAAATTTGGGAATTGTTTCATGTAGCCTCTCATCAGCTCCCCGGGGAGGACACTTGAATAAATGGCCTGAACAATGAAGGAAACATCCGTCAGTTTTCCCTGGAGTCTATAATGGACACCATTATTTTCTAATACGCTACACAGAAAATACAGAATGGTACCCAAGGCAATAGTAGCAGAACAGAGGTGAAGATGGAAGCCCCATCACCAGCACAGAGTAGGGATCCTTTTCCAGCCCAGGACCCCCATTAATTCCAGGGGTCATGTGTTGGGCCCAGCAAGAGGCAAAGTAGTGGGCTACATTTCAGCCACGTAAAAGAGGAGGTTTCTGCAAACACATCTCTCTGTCCAGGAAAGCAAGAGGCATCACAGGCTAAAGGCACATTCCAGCAAGGCAAAATACCATATTTTTTGCTCTATAAGGCGCACTTTTCCCCTCCTAAAAAGTAAGGGGAAGTGTGTGCGCGTCTTATGACCTTTAAAGCCCTTCAAGGCCTAGGACCCTCGTACCTACGGGACCGCCTCTCCTGGTATGCCCCACAGAGAGCCTCAAGGTCCATAAATAACAACACCCTAGTGGTCCCAGGCCCTAAGGAAGTTAGATTGGCTTCAACCAGAGCCAGGGCCTTTTCAACTCTGGCTCCGGCCTGGTGGAACGCTCTGTCTCATGAGATCAGGGCCCTGCAGGATCTGATTTCTTTCCACAGGGCCTGTAAGACAAGAGTTGTTCCGCCTGGCCTTTGGCTTGGAGCCAATTTGATTCCCTCCCTCCCTCTCTTTCTTTTTTCTTTTCCTTCTCCTCCTGCAATGAGGCTACATTTTAATATTTTAATGTTCCATTATTTTAATGTTGTATTTTATTTTTGTTTTTAAGTTGTAATCATTTTTCTTGTTTTTATTATTGCTTGTAAGCCGCTCTGAGCCCGGCCTTGGCTGGGGAGGGCGGGATATAAATAAAAAATATTATTATTATTATTATTATTATTATTATTATTATTATTATGTAGCGAAGGCAGGCGGGAGGCTCTGCTCAGTGCTCCCTTTAAAAAGCCGTGTGGAGCGTGTGTGCTTTTCCCCGCGTGTGTGCTCTGCGTGGAGCTTGGGGGCTTTTCCCCGAAGGGCTTCTCCCTCCTCGCCACGCAGTGATCCCGCTTGCTGTCCTGACTTCTGCCTTAGCCACGTGCCTCTTCCAGGCAGGGGGAGCCTTCATCCTGCTGCCTGGGAAAGGCTGCACGCGGCTATCCCATAAGCCAGGACAGCAAGAGGCTATCCCAGAAGCCAGATCCCTCTTGCTGTTCTGGCTTCTGAGATTCAGAAATTATTTTTTTTCTTGTTTTCCTCCTTCAAAAACAAGGTGCGTCCTATGGTCTGGTGCGTCTCATAGAGCGAAAAATACGGTAACTTGAGGCTACAAAGCTTGGAGAGTCTCAAGGACCAGGCAAGCCAGGTCACATGTGAAGGTTCAGAGAAACTTCCAGGGGAGAGGTTGGTGTTTACTGGGAAGTAGCCACAGGCTGTGGCTGTTAACTTTGATCCCTGTCCTGTGCTTTGAGATGGAAATTGTGCCAATGATTACCAGCACAATAACTCAGTTGGTAGAGCATGAGATCCTCAGAGTCATGGGTTCGAGCCACACTTGGGGCAAAAGATTACAGGGGGTTGGACTAGATGGGTCCTTGTGGTCTCTTCCAACTCTGAGATTCACTTTTGAAGGTGCTCGCTGCTGAGACAAATCCCTTCCCACCCCAGCAGGGAGAAAAAAGACCTTTGAAATCAGGAAATTACACTGCTGACAGCCAATACAATCCCTGCTTTCAAAGCTGTTCATGAGGACCTTTTAAAGTTGAGAGCACCCACCCTCCTCAAGTCACTTTGTAAGAGTTTCTCACGGGCAAAACTCTACCCCTCCAAAGTTTCTCTGAAATTCTCCCCACCTCACCCTGTTTTTTTAGCTGGTATGTTTTCACCCTTCCTCCTCCCTCCCGCTAAACAAACTGATGGGGGAAAGCATGGCTGAGAAGTTCAGCCCCGCTCTACTTTGCACAAATCCTGGGCTTTTTTCTCCTGCCACAGCCTGCAACAAATCAGCAGCAGATACCCCTCAGGCAGCTACACAATATGCTCTGGAAACTAAAGAATTGGGTAACCTGCGTAGGTAGAAGGCTCCAATTTTGTCGGCTGCGAATCTGCCGGTCAACTAAGTCGCCATCGCAAATACTGTCAGCTGCTTTGCTAAGCAACATCAGGTGTTTCTTCATGTTACCCCTGGGGGGAAATGATGACTCACATTACTCACAAACAATTGTACTTTCGTTAGTCCTGATGCAGCTACACAATCCAAATTGTTCAGATTCATTTAACTCACCCTGCAGCAGCTGGGGTCACGTGGATGTAGTTCTCCTGGACAAAGAGCGGGGCGAGAGAGTAATCGTGGAAGAAGAGGTCTGATTTGTCTATAAGGGACATGTGAGAGGTCTCTTCTCCGGTAGCAAAAACCTTCCTGACAACATCGAAAGGGCCCTGCAAAAATTAAACAGAATCTGAATTCGACCGTCAAGCAAAGCTTCTGCACCAATTGCAGAGATTAGCCCTGGAAGAATCTGGGCAAGTATCCACTACAAGAGCTTTTCTTAAAGGTAAAGGTAAAGGTACCCCTGCCCATACGGGCCAGTCTTGCCAGACTCTAGGGTTGTGCGCTCATCTCACTCTATAGGCCGGGAGCCGGTGCTGTCCGCAGACAGTTCCGGGTCACGTGGCCAGCGTGACAAGCTGCATCTGGCGAGCCAGCGCAGCACACGGAACACCGTTTACCTTCCCGCTAGTAAGCGGTCCCTATTTATCTACTTGCACCCGGGGGTGCTTTCGAACTGCTAGGTTGGCAGGCGCTGGGACCGAACGACAGGAGCGCACCCCGCCGCAGGGATTCGAACTGCCGACCTTTCGATCGGCAAGTCCTAGGTGCTGAGGCTTTAACCCACAGCGCCACCTGTGTCCCAAGAGCTTTTCTTACTATTTATTAAATTCATCCAAAGATCACAGGGCGGTTCACAACATAAAAATATAACATGAGAACACAAAATACATTATAAAACAAAAACAAACCTATAACGCCACCCCCGACACATTTAAAAGGCCATAGAATGTTTAATCACCCAAAGGACTATAGAGAAAGGTTTTTGCCCGGTGCCTAAAGATATGTAATGAAGGTGACAGGTTAGCCTCTCTGGGGAAAGCATTCCACAAATGGGGAGCCACCACAGAAAAAGCCCATTCTCCTGTTGCCACCCTCTGGACCTCTCATGGAGGTGGCACACAAAGAAGGGCCTCAGATGATTATCGCAGGATCCAGGTTGGTTCATATTTTACATTGAACCTCAAGGACTCCAGTAAATACACTCTGCAGCACAATCGCTGCCACGTTTACCCAGAATTAAGTCCTACTGAATTCACTGGCCCTACTTCCAGGTACGTGGGGTCAAGACTGCAGCCTTAGTCTGATTTGGCTCAATGTTTACATGTTCAAAGCTAACAATATCTGGGGTATTATGAGCTTCAGTGCCTGTTCCCAATACTATTACTGTACTTTTCTTTTTTAAGGCCAAAATTAAGACGTTGCTGGAGATGCGAGTGCTGCTAAAAATAGCACCCAGTGTTTCTTCTTCCTTCCTGGTAACACAGTAAAAAAACAGAACGTGATGCAATGTTACTGTGGTCCAAGTTTAAACATGGACAACTGCACATTCCTGCATCGCAGGGGTTGGACTAGATGATCCTCAGGGTCCCAATTCTATGATTCTATATATTTAAATATGCATTTTAACATCATTTTGCTACTTTTTTGAACCAAGCACTACGTTAGAGCATTTTGAAGGTACAAAAGCAGCTCACAGAAGGAATTCACAAAGATTCAATTCCTTAAGCATCCATCCCCATTTGTTTATAGTCTCTATGCTTACTGCCCTATGAGTATTTTGTGTTTCTCCTCACTCAGCTCATGATCAAATTCAGTCAGCTGCACCTTCCCCACCTCAGTGATGGGAAAAGTTACACTTGGTGAAACGCTTAAAAGGCTGCAGGAAAGAATAAGGATTACAGCTAAAGTTCCACATGTGAAACTTCATAAATTATCTATCATGCCAACACGAATAGAAATCACAAGATTGTAGCTGTTATGTAAGGGGTTATTATATCTGAATGGAATGCAATGCAAATTATTAAAATTTTGGAATGCAGAAAAAATGCAGAAGAATGGATTAATCAACTCTAGCATGCGAGGGGGCCAGTTAAATTAAATTGTATAATTTGACATTTGAATAATTGGCAATAATTGTATTAACTGGATAAAATTTGTATTTTTATAATGAGGCTGTTATTGGGACAATACTGGAAAATCAATATTAATATTAATAATGATGATGATGGCTGAACCACCTCAACCAAACAGGCAGAATTCCTGGCATCACCTAGACATTTCTGCTGTCTGATTGACATTTGAAGCCATGGTTTTAAAAGGGGCCCAACTTCTGGTTTCTGGCAAAAATCTAATTTTGCAGGTCCTGTTGCAAAGCAAGCTGGCACAGACATGGCATTTCCCAAGCCAAAGTTCATCCTACCAGCTTGATGTCCTTCTTTGCTTTGTTAGCATCCTCTTTGACACCATCGTAGGTCAGAGATTTGCTCCTTGCACACCACATGCTGAGATTATGTAAAACCTGAGAACAAAACAGAAAGGTTAGAGCTTGCTTCATTTTGGTGTCTGAAATTCCATCCACCATGGATAGAGAGCAGACTAAATAAATGACTACGGATTAAAGGCTGGCACTGATCAATAACTCACTTGTCTGATATCCTGATTGGCTGCCAAGATGACTTCATTCATTGCTGGTGGTGGAATCTTTAACCCCTCTTTAAAGGCAATGGACATCATGGCACCCTGTGAGAAGGAAATTAGAGAAATTCATGAAGAATAGATTTATAAGTGGTTATTATCCATGACAACTAAGTGGAATCACTTCTCTTTGATGGTACCATCTAAGGCAATGCCTAAGGCAATGTCTGATGGTACCATCTAAGGCAATGCCCACCCCCCACAAAGTTGGGGAAAATAAAGCAAGGGGATAGCCATCACTGTTACACCCTGCTACAACTACAACTAATCCAGAATGCGGCAGCTAGACTGGTGACTGGGGGCGGCCGCCGAGACCATATAACACCGGTCTTGAAGGACCTACATTGGCTCCCAGTACGTTTCCGAGCACAATTCAAAGTGTTGGTGCTGACCTTTAAAGCCCTAAACGGCCTCGGTCCTGTATACCTGAAGGAGCGTCTCCACCCCCATCATTCTGCCCGGACGCTGAGGTTCAGCGCCGAGGGCCTTCTGGCGGTTCCCTTATTGCGAGAAGCAAAGCTACAGGGAACCAGGCAGAGGGCCTTCTCGGTAGTGGCGCCTGCCCTGTGGAACGCCCTTCCAGCAGATGTCAAAACAATAAACAACTACAGTGGTACCCCGCAAGACGAACGCCTCGCAAGACGGAAAACCCGCTAGACGAAAGGGTTTTCCGTTTTGGAGGCGCTTCGCAAAACGAATTTCCCTATGGGCTTGCTTCGCAAGACGAAAGCCCATAGGGAAATCTCCGGGACAGCGGGGAAGCGCAGCGCGTCTTCCCCACTGTCCTCGGACCTCCTCCGAAGGCTGGCGGGGGGGCGGAGAGACCTCTTCCCGCCGCCAGGCTTCGGAAGGATGCTCCGAAGCTAAAGAAGCTAAACCAGCCCCCCGCGACCCTCTCCCAGCTGGAGAAGTGACGCGCGCCTATGGCAGGAACCTCCATAGGCGCCCGTCACCTCTCCAGCCGGGAGAGCGCGCGCGGGGCTAAACCAGCCCCCCGCGACCCTCTCCCAGCTGGAGAAGTGACGCGCGCCTATGGCAGGAGCCTCCATAGGCGCCCGTCACCTCTCCAGCCGGGAGAGCGCGCGCGGGGCTAAACCAGCCCCCCGCGACCCTCTCCCGGCTGGAGAAGTGACGCGCGCCTATGGCAGGAGCCTCCATAGGCGCCCGTCACCTTGACATCTGCTGGAAGGGCGTTCCACAGGGCAGGCGCCACTACCGAGAAGGCCCTCTGCCTGGTTCCCTGTAGCTTTGCTTCTCGCAATGAGGGAACCGCCAGAAGGCCCTCGGCGCTAAACCAGCCCCCCGCGACCCTCTCCCGGCTGGAGAAGTGACGCGCGCCTATGGCAGGAGCCTCCATAGGCGCCCGTCACCTCTCCAGCCGGGAGAGCGCGCGCGGGGCTAAACCAGCCCCCCGCGACCCTCTCCCGGCTGGAGAAGTGACGCGTGCCTATGGCAGGAACCTCCATAGGCGCCCGTCACCTCTCCAGCCGGGAGAGCGCGCGCGGGGCTAAACCAGCCCCCCGCGACCCTCTCCCGGCTGGAGAAGTGACGCGCGCCTATGGCAGGAGCCTCCATAGGCGCCCGTCACCTCTCCAGCCGGGAGAGCGCGCGCGGGGCTAAACCAGCCCCCCGTGACCCTCTCCCGGCTGGAGAAGTGACGCGCGCCTATGGCAGGAACCTCCATAGGCGCCCGTCACCTCTCCAGCCGGGAGAGCGCGCGCGGGGCTAAAGAAGCCATAGCCCCGCAACCCTCTCCCAGCTGGAGAAGTGACGCGTGACTATGGCAGCAGCCTCTGAAGGATGCACCGAAGCCTGGCGTGGGGGGGGGGGGGCGGAGAGACCTTCTCCCCGTGCCAGCCTTCGGATGGCTGTCCTGAAGACTTGGGGTGGGAGAAGGGTTTTCCTTCCCACCGCCAACATTCAGAATGCTGTTCTGAATGTTGGCGGTGGGGAGGAAAAACCCTCCTCCCACGCAAGCCCCGGGAACAGAGGGAAAGCGCTGCGCGCCTTCCCCTCTGTTCCCGTACCTGTGCTGAAGGCTTGCGGTGGGGAGAAAAGCCCTTCTCCGCACCGCCAGCCTGGCAAGCGGTTTCCCTAGGAACGCATTAATTGATTTTCAATGCATTCCTATGGGAAACCGTGCTTCGCAAGACGAAAAACTCGCAAGAAGAAAAAACTTGCGGAACGAATTAATTTCGTCTTGCGAGGCACCACTGTACCTGACATTCAGAAGACATCTTAAGGCAGCCCTGTTCAGGGAAGTTTTTAACGTGTGATATTTTACTGTATTTGTGGTTTTTATGGAAGCCGCCCAGAGTGGCTGGGGAGGCCCAGCCAGATGGGTGGGGTATAAATAATAAATTATTATTATTTTAAGCTTCCTGGAAACATCTGTTGGATCTCTTGCAGAAAGGCTTTGGACTGACCCAGAAAGGCAATTCTTATTGTCCTACTTTAAGAGAGTCCCAGTATATTATTTGTCAACCGCCTACCTTAATCTGCTCCACGCGTGGTCTGTGAAAGCGAAGATCAAAGCAGTAGTGGACAAGGGAACGCATCTTTGGGTGATTCCGATCATTACACATACAAATGATAGGAACCTTTGTATGTTTAATCAGGTCAATCAGTTCCTGCAATTAGAGAATGCAACCCCACTATGAAGCCGTTTGTGTGGCTCTGCTGGTACCAACCACAGTGCTGTGCAAATTAGTGCAACTTGATGCAAGTTTGCCATGCATCTCATCTAGCTTTCAGACATTTAGGAATGACCCAGCTGCTTAACAGCTCAAGCTGCTGTTAGTGAATTAGTTTCAAGGAAAGCAATAGCTTTCTAGTAGACCAACTTGATAAACCAAAGCAAGGTTGAGCTTTTTCCTTACATTTTTGTGAAAGAAGCGGTCGGCACAAAATGGAATGATAAAATATTTTTGAGACAAAAATGACATGATACTCATTTTCAATCAGTTATCCTTTAAGCTAATAAAGATCTGTTCCTTGTGCTGTCTGAACTTCCACCTCTCCCCCCCCCCCCAAACTCACAATAATCACTTTTACACTTTTCATGGAAGTTATTCTACCTGGATGCCGCCCCTGTCTTCGTTGCCAGCCATTCCATCCACCTCATCCATAATTAGGACATGCTTTGTGCTGACTGAAGATGATGTGCCTGAGGATGATGGAGGAAGAGTAAAAAAAGGCAAAGTGATCTTATGGCCACATTCATTGTAAGCCACAAAGTACAACTTACTGCGCACAAGCAAACCACACCCACTTCACTCCTTCCAATTCGTGCAGGGAAGAAATAAACCACCGCCTCATTACATTTGAACCAGGGATTATGGTTTGTTTCATCCCAAAGAAACTCAGTTAGTAAACCAAGACTGAAGCTTGGTTACAGATCATGGTTAGTTGGATGCAAAGCAAACCATGATCTGTGGTATTGCTAAGACAGGGATTGTGTTTTATTACATTCTAGGGCAACAAACTGTCCAGAAAGGCCCAGTTTCATGTCATGGTAAACTGTCTGCTGTGAACCTGCCCATCTCCTGAAAACGCTACTGCTTACAAAAAATCAATCCAAGATAGAATACCATTTTTGAGCATAAGGGAATTATTAGGGCCTAACTGTGAAATTGGGGACATCAAGTCCACATTAATTGTTCTAGCCAGTAAGAAGGAATGCCCAGAAAGCGTAATGAAGATACCTGAACAGAACTCTTTGATGCTGGTGTTATTTAGAGATTCGGCAACCACCTCCTTCAGGCTGTTCTTACTGCGAGTGTCGCTGGCATTTAATTCCACATAGCTCAAGCCCAGTTCCTAAGCCAAACACACAAATAAAACAGCAGTATCAATAGACAGACAAACAAAATGCTTCTACTGTATAGATTAGTCCAGTAGCCAACAAGCAGTCTTATTCTAGGGATACAGTCACTAAGATCAATAGCCACAACCCCCAATCTTCTATGCACACCACTTGATTCCAGTTAAAAATTGGGGAGTCAGAAGGCATTCCTCAGGAGGTCAGCTGTGGCCCTGGATCTTCTAGTCAATGTTTTTGTGATTAGCCACCAATATAAAAATGACCCCAGAGAGAAAATGACCACCTGAAAAAACTAAGCAGGCAACTCTGCTTTTATAACAGTAAAGTCAAAGAGGATTAGGTCAACTAAACAGATGGACCTGACCCACAGAACAGGATACCACAGAACATTATAATTCAACTTTTTTTATTAAAAAAAATGCAATTGCAGTTGCAACCTTGTTTTTTCAAAACAGACTTCAGAGTCCTATATAGAAATGAATTACTATATTGGCCTGAATATAAGCCACACCTTTTTCCCCCCCAAATTCCGATCATGAAAAGTTAAAGTGTGGCTTAAATTTGCAACCTTACAAAAATGGGCTTTTACGATATCACTGCTTAAACAGACATACAGTAAAACGGAACGGGTGTGAGTGCCTGCGGAATTTTAAGGGAGCGGCTTATATCCGGGTATTGCCTTTTTTTCTTTCTTCCCCTTGAATTTTAAAGGTGCGTCTTATATTTGGGCCAATACGGCAAATCAAAAGCAAACAATTGTCCTAGCTCCTCTAATTCTTAGGGAAGCCAGAGGGGGAGAGAGAGAAAGTACAGCTAAAGCCAGTCAACCTGCATACAGTAGAACCTCGGTTTTCGAACATAATCAGTTCCAGGAGTCCATTCGACTTCTGAAACGTTCAAAAACCGAAAATCAAAGGGCTGTCGGGCAAAGTCAATAGTGAAAATGAAAGCATTCACTTCTGGGTTTTCGGCGTTTGGCAGCTGAGACGATCAGCAGCCAAGATGATCGAAAACCGGTGTTTGACCGTATTTGACTGTGGTCGCCTCCAGTAAGTGGGGAAACTTTCACAACTCTCTAATGGCCGAGGTGGATGCTGTTACATGGTGAGCACTGACATGCAGGCCAGCTCTGATTTGCTGATAGACTTAAGCAGGAAAGCAGCTGTCGAGGTCCACTGCAATAGCAGAAAATGCAACCCAAGCATTTCTGCTGTTGTTCAGTCACTTCCTCCATCAAACAACCCCCAAAGAAGTTCATCCCAATGCTCTCGTTTCCTTCGCATGCAGTCCCCATTTTGGGGAAAAAATGCAACTCACTTCGCAAACTAGTGAAGCAGTGGTCGTTTTGCCAACCCCCGGGGGGCCAGAGAGCAAAGCTGCTTTTGAACTAGCACCGTCGTCTTTGACTCCAAACTTACTGGGTTTTGCTGCAGGGAAAAGAGAGGGAAGCTTTAGCCAATCATGTCATATAACAGCCAAGAGGAAAACAAGCAACAGTTTAACGAGATTGTTCAATGAAACAGAAACAAAGCAGTTTCAAAACAAAAAACCCCCGATGCTTTACAAATCCAACAAAGGGAGTGCCATGTTGAACATCTCTGCCCATCCCAAAATTATTTTTAAAAATCCAAATGTAGAAAACCAGGCTACATGTGCTAGTGTTTTCAGTAAGTCTTTTAGTTTTACATTTAAAATGAATAAACTAACCACATGCAAGCCCCCATTTTCAATCTAAAGTTGTACAGTCCCAACAGAGGCACACAATTATTCTGAATATGTAGATCAGTTCTTAATGCCAGAAAAAAACGAACTTTTTAAAATAAAATAAAAACACTGCAGAATTCAAGCAAATTTACTCTGAAATGTCTTTGTGGGTTTTGTATCAGTTTGAAATGGCAAGGGTTTTTTTCAAAAGCAAAACTGAGCCTGTAAACCTATAGATACCTAATAAGGCTTAAACTTCATGTTAGATTTAAGTTGCTTCAACTGTAAAGAATTTCCTCAGCCAGACTTGCTTCAAGGGCAACGCTGAAACATGGTTTGTGTTCCTTAAACCAAAATAAATACATTTGATGTGTTAAGCTGGGAAGCTAATTAGAAAACCCTGTTTATAAATAGCTTTACTGGAGTGAAACCATTAATACTGGTTCACTGAATGCAGTACTATATCTACAAAAATTGGCTGGGGCAGTAAGAGAGCTGTGTGGGGTAGCAGCTATGGACTCCTTGGGAGGGGAAGGGAACACACTACAAAAGCAAAATTCTGACTCAGTTGTACGCTAACATTGCAATGACCACATCCAGAATATTAACAGATTAAAATAAAACCAGGTTTCAACGCTATCTGTCAACCTGGCTACGGTTTGGCATTAAGATGTACTGTGTAAATATAATGTACATCATCAAGACCCTGGAAAAAGGTGTCAAGTTCCAGAAGAATCATTTGTTGCACAATTACCGTGTTTGTCCTGCGAAATATTCCTGTGCCAGTTTCGAAGCCAACGTAAGAGTTTATTGGCACAGCTTTGGTCGCCTTGTTGCCCAATGATTGTTTTAAGGGATGTGGGCTTGTATTTGTCCACCCATAATAACACCTCAGCTCCACCTTTACTGCCTTTTTGAATTGGGCTCCCAACATCCTTCGGATCCTTTTTCTCCGGCGCTTTCTGATCAAAGTCCAGACCTCTCCTTGCTTCCATTGTTTGCTTCTTGGGAGATCTGACGGTATTGTCCTTTTCAGGAGTGACTTTTTTCTTTTTGGGTTCACTCTCTCTAGTTGGAGGGCTAATTTTTCTTCTTTCCGCTTCAGCTTTCGGTGGGGTTTTCACACACTTGGATTTGGCCTTCTTTGCCTTGAAAAGGAAAGACATGCCAGAATTAGCAGGCCTGAGCTCGGAGACAAAAGCTTTCAAATGGTGCTTGTAGGAATTAAGAGATTCTCAAAAAGATCAGCAACGGGAGCTCACTGGCTTCGATCAGATACAAAACTAAACTATAGTTTAAGTATACGAAATCATACTTGAGCGAGCCCTGGGCTTGCTCCAGTCCAGTCATTAGAAGGAGAAAGCTTTTCCTTCTGTTTTCAAGAGAACCACTTTTCTGTTAGGTCTGAACCCTAAACTGTGGTTAAAACCAAATTATGGTTTATTATGTCCCTTTAAGGCTACCAGGGACACACTGCAAAAAAAAAAAAAGTTGGCTGCCTCCACAGCAGTCGTCCTTTTCTCCATACAATTACCAGGAAGGGGTGGCATACCATAATGTACAATGGCTTCCGGGGACTTTTAAATTAGAAGTTTTAAAGAAGTGTGGCAAAGTGTGAGGCTGTTTCAGGATTTTTCCTAAAATCCACACAGATGGCACAGATTTACTAGTCTGTTCATGTGCAAGGGACACACATCGAATTAAGATTATTTTCTCCAACCCTAATTACAATAGAATACCTATTCTGTCAGATGGATAACCTTTTTTTAAAAAATCACTATACATGGCAATAACATTAAGTCTCAGTGTCAGCACACAAACTAGGTTATTCACCCACTTTTAGTTGGTTTTTTTGGTCTCTGCTGTGTAAGGAAAGAGGAGAAAACCCAAAGATTTCTATAATTTTTCTCCCCAGCTTGGAAGAAGAGTTCTTGTGAACATGGCTTGTGAGGAAAGGATAGAGCACCCACTCGCCCTGGAAAAATGCTGCAATCTAATTCACAGCCCCCACCCCACGAGTCCACAGTTCTTCTAAAGGCTGTGCAACAACACAATGCCAAGAAATGTGATATTGAATCTCCTGGCATCAAGCATTTTTTGGCCTTGAGGTTATTCAAAAGAACAACTACTTCTGCAATTAAAAAGAGAATTAAGAGAATGTTGTCAATTAAAGCTAATTTGTACAAACCTCTGCTTCAGCTGCCACTTCATACTTTGACTTCTTGCCTGGCATACTCCGAATCAGGTCAAATAAACCATCTTCATCAATTATTTTTGTCCCTAAAGCTAAGGCCTATAAGAGAAGCCAAAGTCGGCAGTTATTCACATTTATAGCGCTCAGTGTCAGAAAGTAGCACAATCACACCCAGCTAATATGTTCAAATGCACCAGATGTAGAACCTGGTTAAGCAAATAAAATATACCTGAAATCAGAGGTCTCCACTAATTATTTCCTCACCTCAACAAGCAACCTTCAGGTCTAGAAGAAGAGAATTTGTCTATCACAAAGATCTGGCCTCATACTGCTGAGGCTGAAAGCCTTTGAGTCTAAGAGTTGTACTGTTGATAGTGCTAACAAAATGGAACTCAGAAAAAGGCCGTTTCACTGAATGCAGGATACATTTAAAGCTGTAACCCTAAGCACATTTATTTGGAAGTGCCCTTGAATTTAGTGTAAACACACTGAGGGGTGCACTTTGTATCGGGCAGCTGCAAGCTGACAATTGTACTTAACTAAAGTAGCGCAGGAGTGAGGAGGAATGCTTATTTCCAATAATGTACAATACAATGTACTGGATGAATATCTCTCTAGATAGACAGATATAGATAGATAGATAGATAGATAGATAGATAGATAGATAGATGATAGATAGATAGATAGACAGATAAGATAATTTATTATGGTCGGAGAGTAGCTTATAAAACACACTTGGGAGTACAATCCCAGAAAGAAAACAAACAGTTAAAACAATGTACAACAATAAATTTAAAATTTATAAATGTGATAAGCATATTTGGAAGTGCCCTTGAATTTAGTGTAAACACACTGAGGGGTGCACTTTGTATCGGGCAGCTGCAAGCTGACAATTGTACTTAACTAAAGTAGCGCAGGAGTGAGGAGGAATGCTTATTTCCAATAATGTACAATACAATGTACTGGATGAATATCTCTCTAGATAGACAGATATAGATAGATAGATAGATAGATAGATAGATAGATAGACAGATAAGATAATTTATTATGGTCGGAGAGTAGCTTATAAAACACACTTGGGAGTACAATCCCAGAAAGAAAACAAACAGTTAAAACAATGTACAACAATAAATTTAAAATTTATAAATGTGATAAGCATACAGACACTTAAAGCTACTGTACAGATATGACCCAGTTACCCATGGAACCGAGTTTGGGGATTTTCTTCACAAACTAGTTTGAGTCGGGGGATGGTCTGCGCCTACAGATCTTTACCATCTGGTGACCATCCGGGTCGTCTTATCATCTTTGCCTAACAGGAAAAGGTCGAAGTTTCGCTTTTCCGGGAAGTCAGTGAGCCTCACCAGTAGGGGATCAATGGTCTTACTATGTGCCTCTTCATAAAAAGGACATCTAAAGATCAAGTGCTCTGGGCTTCCCATATCCCCCAATGAACAGGCACAGAGTCTCTGGGCATATGGGACTTTTTTAAAGGCTCCTTCCAGGACCAGCGAGGGCAGAGCCGAGCTTCTGGCGAGTGTAAAGGCCCTTCTAGCATTTTTGGATATGAGAAAGAAGAGATATGCTGCCGGTGCGGCTATATCTCTCTCGATTTCTCCAATTTTATAGTCGGGGCACCTTGAGCAGTCCGGTTGTCTCTCGGTGTCTATGATTCTTTGCCTGACTGTAGCTTTTGCCTGGCCCAAGCCCGCACTTAGAAGGGCTTGAGGGGCAAAACCCAGTTTCTGAAGGGTGTTCAGGACCGCTGTCTGCCAGCCTGACTGGAACTGGTCGCAGAGGATCAGTGGGGCTATTCCTCGGGGGAGCAGATTCAATGTCGGCCATTTGTAAACTGATGTTAGGCAGACTATCTCTATCTGCAAGCGCCAATCCGCCATCCCATTTCAAACCCTAATGGAACTTCCTCAAATGAACTTCACTGTGTTCCAGAGGGCCTCCTGCATCCCCTCCAAAAGGAGCCACACAAAACGAGTACAGTGGTACCTTGGTTCCCAAACAGCTTAGTTGTTGAACAAATTGGCTCCTGAACGCCACAAACCCGGAAGTGTTCTGGTTTGCAAATGTTTTTCAGAAGCCAAATATCCGATGCGGCTTCCAATTGAGTGCAGGAAGTTCCTGCAGCCAATCGGAAGCCGCACCTTCATTTTTCAATGGTTTCGGGAGTTGAACGGACTCCCAGAATGGATTAAATTCAAGAACCAAGGTACCACTGTGCCCTGCAGAGAGTTGTCTTGAAAGAAAATTAGCGCGCACACACCAAAAAAACTATTTCAAATAGGCTGGGGTTGTGGTAAGACTTAATTTTGAAGTGAAGCCATTCTGTTCTCAAGACCGGGACATGGCTTGATAGGAGAAGAGGATACACAGGTCAGAGAGGCAAGAGATCGCTTGTTATGACAAAGCAAGGGCTCCATGACCACACGCTAACAACTTACCTTGTCACTCTTGGCTGCGCCGCAGTCACGACCCTTCACAAGATAGTCTGTCTTCTTACTGATATTCCCAGTTACTTTCCCTCCATAGCGCTCAATCAGAGATTTGGCCTCATCGCGTTCAATGGATTCCAAGATGCCTGTGATCACAAACGTCAGGCCTTCAAAGCAATTTTCACCACCCTAAGGAGAAAAAACGGTGCCAATGGGCAGCATTAAGTTTAAGGCAGTTGAAGTGAAAGCTACAGCAGCCGTGTTCCAAAGAGAGGAAAAGTAAAAAAGCACTGTTTGAAATATGATTTTGTTCTTCATCATGATGAAATGAAAACTGATCTTTGGCACAGTATAAACATACTTCTGGCTTGCAGAACAGCCTGCAAACCTGAAGACAGCTTTGTCAGCAAATATGCACAATTTCAGCTGTCTGGCCTTAAATGCACATCGATTGTACAGTATCTGGCTAGAATACAGGTGGTTGTCAACAGTAGGCCTGGGAGAAAGAGATGAGAAAGTCTGGAAGGAGTTGCTAGGCCCAATACTACTAGAAATACCAATCACTCGTGATATGTTTCTGCAAGAAATGTTTGCACTTACTTGTGGGATCTCCTTAGAGCCAAGTGCTCTTGGGCCTTCACGATTAAGATAGCTTCTATAAGCTTGATAGTTGGCTCGCTTCTTTTCAGAGTCCTCAGGACTTACAGACTTTGAAAAGAAAAATCATATAGCAATCAGGTTCCACCCAGTACAAATAATGTAAAGAGATGAGCAAACATTAATAGAGATAAACCCAAATTCAAATTATTTGTACACCAATCATTTAGGATAAGTTTGAACACACTTCTGGGATGTTAATCTTCACTCAAATTAAGGCCTACCTATTTTAAAAAAGGGACTCGGGTGGCGCTGTGGGTTAAACCACAGAGCCTAGGACTTGCCGATCAGAAGGTCGGCAGTTCGAATCCCCGGGACGGGATGAGCTCCCGTTGCTCGGTCCCTGCTCCTGCCAACGTAGCAGTTCGAATGCACGTCAAAGTACAAGTAGATAAATAGGTACCGCTCCGGCAGGAAGGTAAACGGCGTTTCCGTGCGCTGCTCTGGTTTGCCAGAAGCGGCTTGGTCATGCTGGCCACATGACCCGGAAGCTGTATGCCGGCTCCCTCGGCCAATAAAGCAAGATGAGCGCCGCAACCCCAGAGTTGGCCATGACTGGACCTAATGGTCAGGGGTCCCTTTACCCTTTACCTTTAAAAAAACAGTTCAGTTTCTTCAAGAACTGATGCTACTCTTTCACGCTCCCTGAAGAGAAAAAAATACAAGAAGCTGGACACACTCATGTGTTGAGCAGCTGATCAAGCTCTCTGCCCATTCTGAGCAATGTCTTCGGTGCACAAAATTGTGCAAAAAAGCTACAAACAGAAGGTGGCTAAAACAGACTCTCATCTCTGCAGCTTGTCCAAAGCCAGTTCATAACAGATGAAATTGATGTTAGAACTGAAATCTCCCCTGCACCCCAATACAGTCCTGTATTATTCACACTATAGTGTTGACAGCAGAGAGTGCACTGGAAGAGCACACTGCAATAGGGATTGAGAATATCCAGCTGTTCAGCTAAGTTCTAAATCTTGCCTGGCAAAAAGCATTCTCCCGGTATGCCCCACGGAGGACCTTAAGGTCCATAAATAGCAACACCCTAGAGGTCCCGGACCCTAAGAAAGTTAGATTAGCCTCAACCAGAGCCAGGGCCTTTTCAACACTGGCTCCGGCCTGGTGGAACGCTCTGTCTCATGAGACCAGGGCCCTGCAGGATCTGATTTCCTTCCACAGGCCCTGTAAGACAGAGTTTTTCCGCCTGGCCTTTGGCCTGGAGTCAATTTGATTCCCTCCCCCTCTTTCTTTTTTCCTTTCTCCTCCTGTGATGAGGCTGCATTTTAATGTTGTATTTTAATCTTGTTTTTAAATTGTATTCATTCAACTTGTTTTTATTATTGGTTGTTAGCCGCCCTGAGCCCGGCCTTGGCTGGGGAGGGCAGGGTATAAATAAAATTAATTATTATTATTATTATTATTATTATTATTATTATTATTATTATTATTACCATGCCAAGGCATTGGTTCAATCCATGTCAGGGCACACAAGACCTTTCAAGTTCCATCAACATGCATTCAAAATAACGATGAAATCTGCAGTTCCTAAAGTGTGGTCTTCAAGCTTACCTTAGATTTTGGGGGAGTAACCTTCTCCTTTTTAGGTGTCTCCTCTGGTAAAACGGACTTTACTTTTGGAGTCCTACTTTCATTTTTTATCGTTTCTCCTTTTGGAGTTCCATTTTCCACTTTAATACTTTCTGATTTTTGCTTCAGCACAGCCAACTTGGAACTTGGCTTTGAGGGCAGCACCTTATTCCCCAAATCCTTCCTCTCTTTACTAACGGAAGACTCAGGGTGCTGACTCCATGTTTTTGTACTTTCTGAGCAAACCTGGTCCTTTGCAGAATTAGGCCTTGTGTCCACAGTTGAACTGGCAGGTTTTACTGGAGAGAGAAGAACATGTTGCAGATTAAAAATTAGTGCTACCACCTCAGCCTTGAAAGTTAAACTACTATTTTGCTGGACAAAAATTACCTTTAGGAGCCTGTTTATGTTTTTCTGCTTCAATTGGACTAGTTTTGACTGTTGAAGTTATCTGTTTCTCTTCTGGATCTTTTCGAGGCTAAAAGACATGTGCTCATGAATAACTATTATGATGAAGCTATTGCAAATAGGAAATAGGAATCTATTTTTGTAAATAAACAATCAGTCTGAATCATTTTAAGATGATGTCCAATTATTTTACTGAGTTTTAAATAAGCTAAATACAAACAGCAAAGTATTTTAAACAGTCTATATTTAAAACTCGGTAAAACAAATAGGACATTAACAGATGGACATTAACAGATTTACACTTAAGATGTTTAGGGAAGTTTTTAATGTTTAATGTTTTATCGTGTTTTTAATAGTCTGTTGGGAGCCACCCAGAGTGGCTGGGGCAACCCAGTCAGATGGGTGGCAAACAAATAAAAAAACTGTTGTTGTTGTATATGGGGTGGAATATTTTAAAGTGTGGTGACACTGTCCTTTAAAATTCAGGCTTATTGGCAGAAAGTGACAAGAGATTATCACAAAATCATAGTCACTATTGAGTGCACCCATCCCAATCAAAACAAGATTGTGCTCATGCAACACAAGGTCATCAGATGAACTTCTGTATTGCCACATTCATCTCTATTGCATGAATCATTTGAAGCTATGGCCTACGACATGCAGCAGAATTTGGTTTCGACCGGAGGTCTGTCTGATGAGCATAGGACAGGAGTTGGCAACCAAGCCAAACCTCTGCAATAGTCCTCAACTTGGGTCCATCAGGAAGAAGAGTTTGGAAGAGGCACACAAAGAGAAGCAGGCTCTTTCTCAAAATAAAGAAACACGCCAGAGATAACAAAGCCTTCCCCTGTCATACCCACATCATATACAAGGTGACTATGATCCACTGTCAGATTTCCACTTGCACCCACCCTTTGTGAAGCAGTTGCACAGAGCAACCAGTTCGTAAGATGTTACCTTTTTCTTCTTTGGTGTTTCATCCAGCATGGCCAGAGTTCTGGCAAATTCTTCATCTTCATGCAGTTGCCTCTCCAACTGAAAGAAGGGATTAATGCATCACAACTGGTATTGATAAGTAAACGGAAACTGCTAAAAATCAGAGGATTACTATGCTACCTAAACTAGGGATGTTACTGAACTTTGTAATTCATTGCCTTGGAATATAAAACTTCCTTGCCATTGATGATTCTTCATCAACTCAATTTGACTGCAATTCAAGGCAGAGAGAACCATGTTCCTCTTGCCACCAACAATAGACCCAGATCGCCGTATTGCTGCTATGGTAGTAAGCCAAGCACCAGCAATGCTGGGAAATGTAAATCAAAGTGGTCTTCACCAAGTGCTGGGAAAACTACAATTGCGACGCCTGGCTTGTTGCGTAAGTAGCACGAAATGGGAAGGTATACCTGCACATCAGTTATGGGACAGAGTTTGAAGGGGTGCTTGGGGAAGGAATTGCACAGTCCTATGGTCTGATTTAACTCATTGGCTCAGAAGAAGACAACCTCCCCCCTTTTTGAGGAGGCAAGATAATTATTACCAGCATTTTTTGAGCCAATCTAAGGAAAAGCAAAGAGGGGAGGAAGTACTGCTCATGGATAAATTTAAATCAAGCGTTAGCTAACCACCACTACACCACAAATAATTTCATCTAATCCTTCTTGCAAGTAGCAATATTAAGTCAGTTATCTGGCATTTATAAACAAGACAGATCAGGTCCTCCAGCTCCTCAACTGCAACCCCACAAATTTTTGGTACAACCTGCCTGAAATTGTCAGAGGAAAGTTTGCCACGGCCGTGCCCACTTTCACTCTAAATGTGTCACTCTGTGATTTTACTGCGCAGGCTATGAGAGGAGGGTATAAGCCGGAGTGCAGATTCCTTTTCAGTATGAGGAACATGCTTCCTCATGGCAACCTTCTGGGGCCTGCGTACCAGTGGTGGGCATGGCTAGAGGCTAAAAGCTGGTGTAGCAACAGACGGGGCTCTTGCCTTTGCACGACAGGATACAGTCAAGCCATGCAAAATTCAGAGATTTCTAGGCAATTATCTATCCATCCATGCAAGTAAGAAGCACCATCACAATTAAGGACACATTCAAGCCAAGCAGCAGCACAGAAGGAAGGGATTAAGCAGGGCCAGTGAGGGGTATGCCCTGGAGAGAGTCTCAAGGGCCAGGCAGAGAGGGCTGAGGGCCACATTTTGTCCCTTGGTCTGAAGTTCCCCACCCCTCGTATAACACAACACTTCCTCAACCCATTTCAAAAAGCTATTTTCTGAAATGGCTTTCTTTCCTAGAACAAATATGCACTCAAGTTTCAGTCAAACACAATAAGGAAAAAACAAGTGACTTTCTCCTTCATTCCGCCCTTAATGCAATAAATACAGCATTTGCTGCATCCTGCTATTATCAAATATCGTTTCTTAAGAGGAAAGCTAATTTGTTCTTGCCAAGAGATTTATTGATAAGAGCTGTTCTGCACACATTACACAAATCCAATCTTTTGGCAACAATGAGATCAAAACTTGCCTCAACGCATGATTCAGACAGATAACTTTATAAGCAGAAGAGTGCCACAGGGTTTACTTTTATGCAATTGTGAGCCACAGAAGGATATTTGGACCAATGAATAGCATTAATCTTTCTTGTTTTCTGTATGAAGCTGAATGCAGACAGGCCCAGCAGCAAAAGCGGAAGTCAGGCAAAGAAGTGAAAAGTTCCCATCTGTAGTGCCTTGGATCATTATTATTTTCTTTTTACAAAATCTTAAACTACACTAAAACTAAACCACTGTTCCAAATTATCAATTTCTTTAACATGCTATTTAAACATGGCATACATAATTGAGTATTTAAAGTGCATAGAGAATGTTCATTTTCAGTGAACAGGGTGGTGTTTTATCTTCAGTGAAATCCTAATAATCTACAGCTTCTATATTTCACCATGAAATGCTCAAGTTTCAGCACCAGCAAATAATCCTTTCCTTTTTCTAACACTGCACTCTGACTGGTAGCAGCTACTGGTGTGACTGTGCCAGCAGACAGGAAAAGTCCCCTTTCCTCTTATAGTTGTGGGGAGCTCCAGGATGAAACACCGAAAAAAACCTTCTAACTGTGCCAATGCCGCCAATGCAGAAAGCTATGATCAGCCTGCCTCCAAGTCAAAACAAGTATATGTAAAATTTCCAGAGTTTCACATCTTACATATTTTTTAAAATATTGTATTTTCAGTTGATTTCCACTTAGCATAGGATATTTTCCATCATGGTCTAGAGACTGCTCTTGGTCTCCTACTCTTATCAGTTTCAGAACACCTCTTGAGGCCTTAAATCTCTATGCAAGACCAGACCACCCAGATCTCACTCAAGAGTGCAACTACACCACTTGTGGTTTTCAATAAATAATAATAATAATAATAATAATAATAATAATAATAATAATAAATTTTATTTATACCCCTCCCTCCCCAGCCAAGACCAGGCTCAGGGCGGCTAACCACCAATAATAAAATTGGCAGGGCTGGCTAATCCATAGGTTGCAGCTGTCCCCCCACAGTCTACAACAGGGAAACACCAAATAAGAGTAAAACTTCCTCTCATCTTAGCAAATACTTTCCAAATATGCTTATGAAGCTAACCAGTCAAGGCTACCCACAAGAGCCAACCACTTTTTAAAAAAAGCCTCCCCTTATCAAGGGAATAATTTCCTTTGAAGATAGCATGACTGTGCAAGGACTTTCTCTAGTCTGGGAGGCACAACCTTTGTCCTATACAGGTCTTTACAGTCTTAGATGGTTACAGAATTAAATAAAGAGCACAGGAGTCTTTCTTCTTGTAGCATATATTATTAACCCTAGAACTAAATACTGTGTCTTATTCATGTGGGTGGCAATATCTATGGTGGGACAAGGCAATTTCTTATCTGTTGTGACTACTCCATGTTGTGAACTACTACTAGGGTCTAGAAAGAAGAATCAAATTAAATTGAGAAAAGGGAAGAAGGAAGAGGAAAGAAGATTCAACCTAGGAAAACGCTATAGAAAAGGGAAGGTTCAGCAGGAATGGCTGTACTGCAACAAAACAGGCAAGAGGAGCCTTTCATATTTGTTATCGAGGAAAACTGATAAAAAAGCCAGAGAAGTGCACATGCTTATTTGTCTGTTGTTACCTCTGTATTCTCTTCAAGCTGTAGCTGCCTGGCAACAGCCTCATCATCTAGTGTGGGATCCCTGCTTTGTGACAGCTGCACCGCAAAGAGAGAAGAATCACAGGGGAGCTCACAGTGAACCCATTACTTAGACAAGCATCATGGAATAATGAATGAGAAGGAAAATCATAAAGCCTCAGCCTAAATGCCTGTGCTTAAAACAAGGAGCAAGTGGAACAGGAATTGTACAGGGAGGAAATCTAATTCTAGGTGATAAAGACGTATTCAAAGCAACATTTCAGAGAACCTAATGGCAATAATATTGATCACGTATTTTAGTGTGCCCACATATTGATTCTGGACATTCGTCACATTTTATTGCACAACAGTGCCACATTCCATAGGCAGACGCCAAAAAAGCTAGGCACGGACAAGGAAGTGAGAATTAAGGGCTTTGCTTTCCTCTTCTTGCTGACTGGCACAGACTTAAAGCGCATGGTACTTCAACACTGGAAAGTCAGCACAACAAATGGATGAATGTTTTGCATTCCTTGCCCCAATCTGAATTGGCCTTGTATCAACATGAGTGTAAAGAGGGCAGATATGAAAGCATCTGGTCAGTTTGTCTTGAGATTTATGGTCAATGGTTGCCAGTAGCAGACACTGGTCAGAGTCACACCATACATTTAAAGCATTCTTGTATCACTTTTAACAGTCATGAAGGATCCTGGGAACTGTAGTTTGTTAAAGGTGCTGGGAAGCCAGAATCCTTAACAAACTACAGATCACATGTTTCTCCATGATGGTTACAGTGCCATAAAAGCACTTTAAATGCATGGTGTAGCTGTGACCATTTCCTATTCCATTTCATGCATCTTAAATGACATAACGCACCTTCCTCATCTCTTATTTGTATCATAATCTCTCTCCTTTTAAAACGGTTACTCTCTTTATATAGGGAGCAGTCTCCCTCATTTCCCTTAATTTGATATTACGTGGCAAACTGCCATTTCCAAATCCACTTAAGCTGCTCTTCTCACACCCTAATAAAAGGAAGTCTAGATGAAATGGACCACACACCAATAGTTTATTCATGAAGTTCATGAACTTTTCTGCTCATAAACAGACATCAGCTAGAAGAGTCACCCTCTTGACTTACTCACTTCTTTTCGTTTGCTTGACACCAGTTTCTTCTCTGATCGCTGAATGCTACCAGTTCCAAAGTAATCAATTACAGAGGTTGGTGTCAGTTTTACTGGAGATAGGGGTTTATTTTTCAGTTTTGGTTTGGGATCAGTCTTTGATGCTCCAGGTGTCCCAAAACGAATAGCCACAGATGTCCCATTTTCCTTGGGTTTGGGAGCGACCTTCTTATTAACAAAGTCCTCTTCTTCATCTGCATGCCGAAAGAAAGAAAGAAAGAAAGAAAGAAAGAAAGAAAGAAAGAAAGAAAGAAATTTAATTACTCCTCAGCACCGAAACACCAACCTGAAAGTAATGTTTCCTTACTATGGAAATATATACAGTATATTAAAAAAAGGAAAGGACCCAGAGTCTCAACCTGGTATTAGGATTCTCTCAACCATTTCCCCCTCACAGAAAGAAAAATATTTTCTTGGGTATGGCCTTGGAAGATAGATCCTATGCAAAAAAGATGGAGATTACTGTATATCCATCTATTTGCACAGGTGCTGCTTTTAGAAGCTGCACCCTGAAAAACTACTGCACGAAGTGCATAACTCCACTCTGCACAATGACCTATGGTCCAAAGGGTCTTTGGTAGTGGATGGCTGTTGGGGCTCTAGCAGGGTTTATACCATATACAGTCTTTCAAAACAGGGGTAAAAGGGGAAATCTTGCCTGCCATGCATTTAAATCTGGGTGCTTTCAATGTTCACATCTCCCTTGCAGAGACCTTGATCAAGCCCACAAAGTTCATTCCCAGGCCTGACCCCGACAACCTTTAGTGACATTTCATGAACCAAGCTAATGTCCACATTGAACAGCTGTGTCTATGGCAGCAATCATTTTTGTGCTGAAAATGGAGCGCAGCCCGTCCTGAACGTGGAGATCCTTCCTGTGACACTAAACCTCTTTGCTTGGTCATCACCCTGTTCTCAATGCTATGTGAACAGGCCTTTTCCTCCAGAGATGCAAGAATTGCAAATTATACAACCCTCTTATCTGAAGAGAAATGTTAAAACCCTGAGCTGCAATAAAAACATAAAACTGATCAACTGAATCTGTTTAAATATTAGTCCCATTTTATTACTTCTCCAGAGAAATTAAAACAAACATGGACATGTCTTCATATCACAGCAACAGCCATCCTGGCTACTGCGTCTTGCTGCCCATACACTATGATCATAAAAATAGCACGTGTAATTCCTAATGCAGTAACTTGCATTAAAACCGCTGAACCAGCTTCCAGGGCAGAAGAGCCAGTGAATCCTTTGGTATATGAGAATCACTAAGATTTTATTCTGCTCTCTGTGAACTTTGCTTTCAGTGTTGCAGAATTTCCAGTTTCCAATAACCACCAGGGTCCTACCTCAAAAATCTTCCATGATCAATACGGTAAGGAAAGTCTGATCTGGCAAATAGCAAGCAGTTTTGTTGAAAAGCAAAGCTAACCACCAACTCCGGAGACACAAAACCAAACTGACTAAGGAAATGCCAGAGCTCAACGGGGAAGGGGTAAAGAGGTGGGACAGATCTTTTGCATTAAATCACAGTCAACTGATTTCCCAAGACACTCCAATGACAGAGGTTTGGTGGGATTACAAATTGTTTTCATGTGGATCTATGCCTTTCTCTATGGAAGTAAATGGAGATCTGCATTTTATTCCCAAAAATCCAAGGTAGTAGCAGAAGCCCACACTCACCAATGACTCTAAGGGTAAGAAGGTTCTTGCTGGTGGGTGACATTGATCCCATCTCAGTGTTTCCTGGGGATCCACGTTCTTTTTTCTAACACCACCCTATGATTCCCATTATAGCCATCCCCAAACTGTAAAGCCTGCCTTTACAAAAGAAATATTGTTGCTCTCTTGGCAGATATCATGCCCTCAGAAGGGATAACAATGCCTGAAAAGTGCAGCCAAATCTGGCAGTAAACAAAAAAGCTATTGACTTTTCATTTGCTTTTTAGCAAAAATAAAACTTCAGAGGTGCAACACGTAAAAAGCCCTGGGCATATCTGCCCAGAGTTTGGAAGCTTGCAAATTTTATTCACTTCTGTGGAAAGGAAAACAATTATTGCCAGAACTAGATTCTCTATTATACTGAATGGGGACCAAGGAACTTTGCTTTCAGTCCTGAATGCTGAGCTGAGTTAGAAAAACACAGAGCAGCCAAAACAGATAAGGTTTCTTTCCAAAGCTATTTATTCAATGTGGCGAAAGCCGACAAAGCAGGTCCCTCCCAAATCTACAATTTTGACAGGTGGAAAGGGCCACCTACCTCTCAGTCACATGGCATCAGCATGATGTCAGATGACTGACAGTTGGTGGCCCCACCCACCTGTTACACTTGGCCTGCAGGGATGGGTAAAGATAGATATTTGTATAGAAAAAAATGGGTACCTAAAGCATAGGAAAGTTTTGATACAAGTGTACTTTATCAAATAAATCAGTCAAAACACTCAACTATTCATTAATGAACAGTCAAAAAAGCACTCGAAGAAAAACCACAGCCCTTGCAAATTAAAAGCCACTTATGAAACTGAGCAAGGTTCAGTGCAGCAATAAGAGGTCATCTTCTACAAACAACATTCAAGGTCCCATACTTAGCTAAACAGTGGTGCATGTGAGTTAGTGAACACGCTCAAACATTTGGATGTCTCCCAATATACTGGGCTAATTTACCAGAGACTAGTTAGAGACAGAAATATTTATAAAACCACTCTGCATATTCCCATCACTTGTGAGAGACATTGTGTTCTCCAAGAGACATTGTGTTCTGTCTTAGACAATCAATAACCTAAAAGGAAAAAGAGGCTGGTTTAACCAAACACAGTAATGATGAAAAGTGTTTCACGACGATTTAAATGATAAACCTAATGACCTGTATGGCACTTCCTACATTAAAAAGAGAATGCGATTTTTCACGTGATCATCACACACTTAAGAATTTCATCTCCAGGAAGCCAAGTTCAAGAGAAACTGAAATGGCACAGGCCAAGAAGACATTAATCTCATGTTTGCCTAACAATTTTCAGAAAGTACTTTAGATATAATTCGGAAACTGACAAGCAACGTCATTCAACACAATAAACCATTTCAGATGCAAATAGCTCAAGGGCCACCATTTATCTGCTTTCAGGACTGAATCCAAGTGTACAAGTTAAGAATGTCCTGACCTTGCCTATTAGATCAGATAAAAAAAAATCCACCTGTTTTCCACAACTAGTATTCAGAGGCGCACTTCCTCTGAACTTAGAGGTGCCATACAACAACCATTTATAAATCTACTCCAGAGCTTGGACTGTTTGGTTGTAAAAGGGGAAAAAAAGACTTCAAGTCAGGGTTGTGTGAAAAAGTATTTATTTCTGCTGGAAACAGTGCCAAAAGGTACACCCAAAAGGATTACGGTGGGAAAATAAAAATAGCTTTAAAATTGAGTGGTATTTATCACTGCTTTCAAAATGCACGTTATTGGGCCAGAATGAATGAGATTGAAAGCAGGTAAAACAGTTTCCCATTTCTATAATATTGTACATATATTCAACACAGCAGAAGGAAAGGAATCAACAGTCTAAAAGACACAGCACCTCAGGTCAAATCCAAGCAAATACTTTTTCTGCAAGGCGAGGGACAGAACAGCATAGCAAGCAAAAGATGGTCAGTTTCTCAGCAGATACAGCCCATGCTCAACACATTCCTTTTCTCCTTCTGGGGAAAAACTACAAAATCATGCTTTGCACAATGGACGGCAGCAGAAATCATTTTACTGCTGCCACTGCATGGTATTTTAAATGCAATGCTGCAATCAGACTGCTTTAGCGCCAGCACCGTGCTATTTAATTTCTTTTCCTTTTCATTTGTATCAAGCTGTCTACAACAGCAAAACACAAAGGACACTAAAAAGCTTCAACACTAATGGCACTAATGAGCCCACTGTTTCCTTTGGACAACATACCCCTCAGCAGAACAACAGTCAAAGTCAAAGGAGAAATCTCCAAAAAGTTTAAGAACCAATACAACTGGGCTCCATGAATTCCTAAGGCTGAACCAATGAGCCAGAACCCCATTAGCACTTAAAGAATTTGTATTTTCAGGAGTTAATGAGCTGATCGTGACAATTACAAGATTTTACAATACCCAGTAATTTGAGATACTCCAGTGGATGGTCCTAGAACCATGAAGTCTAGAGCTGGCCCAGAATGAAGCTAATAATAATAATAATCTGTATACCACCCTCTATCCATAGATCTCAGGGCAGTTCACAACACAAAAATACAAGATAAAACCCCCACAAAGTACATAATTAAAAACAAGCACAAGAACAAACCAATAACCCACCCTCACCCTCAATATAATAGGTCTGGAAGACCTAAACAATGCTTCAGATCTGCTCAGTCATGGAGTCTGTAGTGCTGTAAAGTGGCTAATATAGGAATCAATTATGCACCGCAATATCTTCTTTCATTTATTTCAAGGCTGAGACACGCCTATTGACAGTTTCAGAGCAGTAACGCCAATTGTCTGTAAAAAAAACTGCTCAGAGCCAGGGGACAGATCAACCATACACAGCTGATCAGTATGCGTTTCAAATTAAGTCGTTAACTCTAACTACAATCACTAGATAAGAATAACCTTGATCTGCAACCAAGACACTCCACAATTAACCTTGACCAAATGTTTTCTGGCACGTCACATGCAGAAATCTTTAACTACACCACTCAGGTTACCTAATGCAGAACACCTCTGGGTGCCTTACTTCTGGGCACATCCCCAAGGACATTCTATAGATATATACCGGTAGATATAGATATAAACACACAGAAGTCTAAAGAGAACATACATCATGAAAATTTTAAAACCCTTCAGGCCAAAGCTCAATGAGCATGGAAATTAATTTTCAGTTTTCAGTCATCAAAAATAGTCAGTTTTTCATCAACCTTATTATTCCCATTCTTGGTGAAGATTTATCCACCTGTCATTTAGCTTGTCTGACATTACACCCCACAATGTTTAACACTCATTCCAAAAAAGGGTGTTGTGTTAAAAATATAGAAAACTGCATGTTGTTACAAAACCATGCAGTTCTTTGTTTGAGTAATTATACTAGAGCCATAAACAACCGTTCATCCTGGTTTACTGTAGAAAGTATAAAATGTTATCATACTTTAAAAATTAACCCTCTTTTTAGACCACAAATGACCTAGACCCTATGCACCCTATGCATTTAAAGTAGGCTCATACTTTAAGCAATCATGGCTTTCCCCAGAGAATCCTGGGAACTGCAGTTTATTAAGAGTGCTGAGGGTTATTAGGCTACCCCATTCTCCATACAGAGCTACAATGCCCATAGATCCGAGGCAAGAGGGACTGGTAGTTAAACCACTCTGGGAATTGTAGCTCTCTGCGGGGAATAGAGGTCTCCCAACAACTCTATTAACAAACTACAGTACCCAGAATTTTTTGGGGGGGTCATGACTGCCACTGCTTTAAATGGAAAGTTTGAGAATTCTGGCATGTTTTGGCCACAGTCGATAACTTGAAAGAGAAAAATCTGTAAGTAAACAAACTGGGTATATGTTTCTTGTGCAATAGATAGATAGATAGATAGATAGATAGATAAATTTATTGTCATTGTCCGTATATACACAGTATACACAACAACGAAAATCAAACACCCACCCAAAGACCGGGTTCACATACACATTTGCACGTATCTCCAACACTCTCATCCTATTCAGACATAATCTATAAAAACATAACATAATCCAGAATATAACATAACCTATTAAAGGCATAACATAACCTAAACCTATCTCATTTCTTCCTACTCCCTGCTTGCTATTTCTTGCAACTGGCCCTGAGATCATTATTTAGTGCAATCAGAGCTCTTGGATAGAAACTATTCAGAAGGCGTGTGGTTCGTGTTTTCATTGTCCTATATCTTCTGCCCGAAGGCAACAGTTCAAAGAAGTTGTGAGCAGGATGGGTGGGATCTCTCAGGATATTGTGTGACTTCTTCAAAGTGCGAGACGTGAAGATCTCATCCAGGGTTGGTAGTTGGAGCCCTATAACATTCTGGGCAATTTTAATTATTCTCTGTAAAGCTTTTTTATCCGTTTCAGAGCTGCTCCCATACCACGATAGCTGCTCCCATACCACGATAATAATATAGTGTAGAGGCAAGTTTATTTTTGCATTGCTTCCATGAACTTTTAAAAGCCTTCTTTTTACATAAGCATTTTTAGTACAGCGCAAACCCCACGTATGAGCTGCCTTCAGGCTGAATTCATTACCTGTCTCTGAAACATAAACAACAGGGTCCTTCTTTAGAATCTTATCAGGTCTTGAAGACTGTTTTCTATCTGGCGGCTTCTTAGATTTCTTCACCACCTGGACCTCCTCTTCAGAATCTGCAATTTAGCACAGTGCTATCATTTAATTCTGCCACATCCATCTAAAGAGGAAAACATCCAAAGAAGAGAACAGCGATTCTGCATTCACTTGAGATTCTGACTAAAGCTCCCTTCTAATTCAGAGACATGGAACCTCTGATCTGCAGGCCTAAGTAGGTCCAGCATAATCCCAACTTGCCCCACGAGGTCATTTCCCCAAATCACCTGTGACGTTAGGTGCAGGCCAGGACATTACTCCAAAGGAACAACTAGGAGCTTCAAGTGGGCTCCTACTGGTTGCTTTGCAAGTAGGTCCCACCAACTTGCCAAAATAGGCCCACAGGGATAGGAGAAATAACATATAGCAGGCCACGTTTTGCATTTACATTGAAGCAAACTTGTACAATTTCTTCACCCACAGAAGAAATATGCTTCAACAAACAGTAAAAAAGAAATATCTAAGAAGCCTGTCACCTTTTTGTAGTGTCTTAACGGCCTTTAAGAACGATTCTACTCAGTCAGTTGATGGAGGTCCGGTCCACAAAAAAAACTGCACAAACTATTTAGAGTGAATTTGTTTATTTATTGTTAAAAAAATTTAAATCTGAGTGCATGTAAGAAGTTGGTAACAGGGCTGAGAAAGACCTCTGCCCAAGGGCTTGGAGAGGCATTGTCAGTTAAACTGGGCAATACTGGGCTGAATGGGACAACAGCCAAATATAATGCTCAGCTGTTCATATAAAAGAGGCAGATATACAAGTCTAAGAATGCAATCCTAAACATGTCTACTCAGAAGTAAATCCTACTGAATTAAGTGGAGCTTATTCCTAGGTACAGTGAGGGGGGGAAAGTATTTGATCCCTTGCTAAATTTGCCCATTTACCCACTGACGAAGAAATGACAAGTCCGTAATTTTAATGGTAGGTTTATTGTAGCTGTAGAGACAGAATAACAACAGGAAAACCCCCAGAAACCAGAAGACAAAAGTCAGCGATTGATGTGCATTATAATGAGTTAAATAAGTATCTGATCCCCTATCAAGCAGCCAGAGGTTTTTCCTGTTGTTATTCTGTCTCTCACAGCTACAATAGACCAGTCCATAATTTTAATGGTAGGTTATTTCTTCGTCAGAGGGCAAACGGGCAAATTTAGCAGGGATCAAATACTTTTTCACCTCACTGTAAATGGGGTTAGGATTACAGCCCTAAACATTAACTCCATGCTATGGAATAGCAATATTCACCATGTGACCTAAGGGTCGTAATAGATACCATCACTGTGGACACACATTTTGCCTAATTTATGACTGAAAATTATTTCATTTGGGAGACGACACCTGCCAAGATTATGTAAGCCTCTCTCAAAAGAATCTCTAGCAGAGGAAAGTTACCTCAAAGATGGAAAAAACATAGCAACAGAAGTCATAACTGTTACCTGAATCATAGATTATCCTCTTTTTCTTGTTCACCTGTTTGTGCCCAGAATCCTCTCCGCGAGATGAATTCTTCACCTAGTTGAAATGGTTCATTAGTTACTCATGCAAACAATTCTCCCAACATTAACTCTTGTTTACCAAGTACTACCTTAAGAGAGAGAGCCCAATAAAGTTCATTGTTGGATCAAGGGACTGTGACATACAATGACAAATTAAAAACAAAAAATGACGTATGAGATGGTCTTTGGATTCTGGAGTGATTTTTTTTTTTAAATGAAGGGCGATTCAAGCAATCATTGTCAAAGCCACAGGTAAACTAAGAACAGAAACACTAACAAAGAAGTAAAGATAAAAGGATATGACAAAGCTGTAACAGGCATATATATCTGAACAGCATATACCCACCTTGATTTCCTTCAATTTTGACTTTTCACCTGAAGCCCCCTCCTTATTTGGGGGTTTCTCATTCTTTCTGGTAGTGTCACATTCTTGTTTATTTCTAGGAATTACTGCTCCAAAGAATTTCCGGATATCCTAATAAAAGTGAAACAGTTAAAAGGGTAAGGTATAATTTAAGGATCTGTCATCTTCCAAAATTTCAGGGTACAAGTCTGGATTGCCAACCAAGATTTTAAAAGGAGACGTCAGATAACACAGTGTTTAAAATAAGATTTTATTTTTTTAAAAATGTATTAAAAAGACTATCAAGGTGGCACATGTGAAATCTGAGTAAGAATGCCACTGAGTAAATGGAACATTGTTGGACTTTGCCCCATATTCAATTCCCTGAATGGCCCAGGAGCCAGTGGTAGCTTGAGCAGCCCCTCAACTCACATGGCTGTTGTAAATATGACATTACAAATGTTACAATGAACCTTTTTTTACAACAAACCTGTTAACTAAATGAAACATAGTCTTATGGACCTAGTTGTCCAAAACTTTGTGACTCAAACTTATGTTTGTGAATTCAATAATTTTCTAAAGCAAGAACAGGGAACATGTGGCCCTCTAGATACTGTATTAACTCCTTGCCTCAGTCAACACAGTTAATGGTCAAACGTTATGGGAGTTGTAGTCCAGCAACACATGGAGGCCCAAAGATTCTCCAATCCTGCCCTAAAGAGTGCGAGACTCATAATGGTAGCCACAAAAGTTGGAAAGCCTTTACCTGCAATGTTTTACAGTTACAAACCAAGGGCACCCTGTATAATCTGGGACTTTGCACAGTTACTCAGAAGTTAATTCCCACTGGGTTCAATAGAACTTGCTCCTAAATGCATGTCTAATTGAAGACCTAATCTGAACCACTTTTACAAGCACGGACTACAGGTTGGTGTCCTTGCCCTATCCTTCTCAACCCAGGGCGATATCAGGTAATTGCTGCTAATCTGTGATTAGAAAATTGCTTCCTGGACAGCTGATGGCAAGATGCTACATGAGTCATTTTACTCAGACTGCACCTGGGAGATGCACACTTTTTTCAAGCTAACATCCAAAGAGCAACAACTGTTCATTCTAAACTTAAAGATAAATGCATTCTAACTTTCAAAAGATACTTGTAACTGTTTCTAGACTTTTCAGCCACAAAGAGGATATATTTTACCCAAATGAAACTGATTAAATCAGATAAGATGCCAGGGAAGAAAATGTATCTAAAAACAAAATCTGTCTGTTGAACTTGATGGAAAGCAGCTGCTCTCACCAAAACCACCTTTGTACCAACCAGTTTTAAAAGTAGCGTAAACAGGAAGATAAAGGCACTGAAGCATTTCTCTACATATGTTGAAGGGCTGCTGTAGGCAAAATTCAACCCTCTCACACTGATGAGGAAGTTTTTCAACAGCAAATAAGCAGCTCTGACCTAAAGGCTCCTATTCCTAATTTAATCCCAACAAGAAACCCCCAAAACCTTAGATTTAAAATTATGAAATTTAAGCCTCTGTGGATGTCTCTTTAACAGCAACTTCAAATACAGAAATTTGCAGGTGGAACACAGAGGTGTTATTAAGGCATCAGAACAAGCCTGAGTCACACCTGCATGCACTGGTTTGAAAGTTCACAAACGTTAAGGGAAGAATGGCTGGGGACATCTTTTAAAACTGCCTTTTAAGTTGATGCCGTACATTTTAGAAAACTAATTCAGTTATATGACACTATTCGACAGCTGTCAACTACTAAGAAACTATGTTCCTTAGCCTTCAAAGAAAGCCCATCACTTTAATTATTTTATTTTATTTAATGCTCAGGGTGGGTTATAGCATTAAAAATTGCCAAAAAGGTATCCAAGTTGTGAAATATACATTCACTTTCACAGGATACATAACAGTAGCATCTAGCATACAGGTAACTCACCCAGATGCCCACATACATACCAAAAACTGTGCTGCCAGGACCACAGAAATAACTGTCAGGCAGATGTGGCTGTACCCAAAGATAGCCCAGGTTATACAAATTGCCATCTTCAGAGAAGATGCAAAGTGGGGGCCCAGCATCACTTGACACATAGTTTAGATATGTAAAGTGCACATATGTCAAAATAATGTTTGAAAACATGTGTATCGTACAGGCACATTAGTCAAGGAGTCCCAAAGTACACTGTGGCTCCCTACTGAGGCTATACAGTACTTTGTGACAAGCCTGAATTTTGCTGCTGTGTTATGTGTGAAAAACCCCTGAGCATGCAGCTGAAGCGAGCTGCGAACTCAAGAAGTAATCAGTCTGCTTTGGAATAACAACCCTTTACAGGAAGCTGTGGCTGAGTGGCAGAGCATCTGCTATGCATGCAGAAGGTCCCAAGTTCAATCATGTGTTGAGAGACACCTCAGTCTGAAACGCTCAGGAACTGCTGTCAACTAATGTAGACAATACTGAACTAAGTGGACAAATAGTACAAGTTAGCTTCCTATGTCCCTACGTTTGTTAAGGTCTAGAACATGATGTTCCGAATACAGTGGTGCCCCGCAAGACGAATGCCTCGCAAGACGAAAAACTTGCTAGACGAAAGGGTTTTCCGTTTTTTGAGTCGTTCCGCAAGACGAATTTCCCTATGGGCTTGCTTCGCAAGAAGAAACATCTTGCAAGTTCTTGCGAGTTTGTTTCCTTTTTCTTAAAGCCGCTAAGCCGTTAATAGCCATTAATAGCCGCTAAGCCGCTAATAGCTGTGCTTCGCAAGACGAAAAAACCGCAAGACGAAGAGACTCGCGGAACGGATTAATTTCGTCTTGTGAGGCACCACTGTATCTCACCAAAAAGGAGAAGGGGAGGGAAGAATGAGAGACAAGGGTTCAAGTTGTAAACCTCCCGTGATCATTGGATGAAGGGGTGGTAGATAACAACAACCCCTCTTCCAATGGCAGAATAGGACATGCTGAAGTTTTCCAAAAGTGAGGAGTTATAAAAAGTTATAACATGACTTAGGAACACAAAATTTATTTTGATAAAATTAATATAATTTAGTATTGTTTGGTAAGTAAAATTGCATAGGAATAATTCCCTGTTTAGGGAAGTTTTTAATGTTTGATGTTTTATCATGTTTTTAATATTCTGTTGGGAGTCGCCCAGAATGGCTGGTGAAACCCTGCCAGATGGCCGGGGTATAAATAATAATAAATAATAATAAACGATTGCAAAGTACTTGCATATACGTGTGTAAACATATACACACCTTATTTAGCATTACCTGACATTTTCAGGGGGCAAAATTAAAAGCCTTCGCTTCTCCAAAAGCAGTTTCTGTGCTTCTTCCTCAAGCGTACTTACCGACCTAAATGTTGTCCCATCGCAAAAACAACAGCGTGTTTGAATTCCTCTCACACACACACACACCGAATTTTTTTTCTTAAGCCTCCCTCTCTGAAGAAATTTGCAATAATTAAGTCCCACCTCCCCCCCCCGTCACTCCCTAATAGTAGAATAAGGTTTGGGGAGGGGATGGGGCATTGGGGTTGGAGAATAGGGGCTTAGGCAAGCGAGGGAAAAGAGGTTATTTCGTAGCAATCCCTCCCATGCACCGCCTCAACAAGTTTCTCGCCCTCATGGAGCACAAGGAGGAGTCCCACCCGCGACCTCCCGCCTCGGCCCCCCGAGAGGTTTCCTCTCAGAAGGGCCGGGCCCCGGTCGCCCCCCGGCTCGCGCTCACCATGCCTACGCCCGACGCCGACTGCCGAACCGCCTCCCGCGACGTCGGTTTATGCCGTTGGCGGCGGGCCAACCGACCCGCGCTCCATCCCCCGCCGCCAGCTTCGCGCCAATGCGCGAACGCGGGGTCCGAGTGCGCAGGCGCGCGCGGGGTGATGGCGTCACGGGCTGGACGGGGAGGGGAGGAGGAGCGCGGGAGAGGGGAGAGGCGTTCGCCTGAGTCGAATCCCGCGCAAATGGGGCCCGGCGGGTCCAAGCGAACGCGCGCTGGCGAAGCTCCCTTGGATTCAGACTTCGCTCCCCGCCCTCAGAGTAGCAGCAGTCTGGATTTAAGATTTAAGCGTGTGCTCAGTTAGCTCTGAAATTAGCGCTTCGTTTCGGCTGGATCTTGCCCACGCGCGTGTCTATGTGTACACATAGAATAATCAGAGTCGGAAGGGTTCTCGTGGGTCATCTAGCTCAACCCCCTGCAATGCAGGAATCTCAGCTAGGTCATTAAATAGCAGGTCCCCCCCCCAACTGCTGAAAATCCTCCAAGGATGGAGAGTCAAACCTCCTGTCTGGGAATCTCACTCACACAGACACAAAATTGGGTAGCTTTTCAAAACAAATAAATAAAAGTTAGGTACGCCTCTGTGTTTATGCTCAATAAGTGTCTAACAGTTGTCATGGCGTGCATATCTGGTTTTCCAGCTGCGAAGACGCCCAGACACGGACAAGGCAGCCCCAAGGACAAAGTCAGGGCCGCCTTATCCATAAACACTAGTGGTGCGGGGCGCCAGGGTGCCAAGTTCTGGAGGGCACCAGGCGAGAGTCCCGGGAATATCAAATGAGCGCACTGAGTGAGCAAGGGTGCATGCACCACTCCCGCCAAGCGTCGGCTCGGTTGTTTTCCCCTTTAGCCTGCAGGTGCCGAATTTTGCGGGGTGTCAGAAGGCTAAAAGGGGGGAAACAAGCCAACGCTCAGTGGGAGTGGCGCACATGCACCCGCTCGGCACAGGCCCGTTCACTCGGTGTGTTCGCGCGCCCAACGGGTTGAGGCGCAGGCTAGCCGTCTTCATATTCGAGCTGGGCATCAGGCGCCATGGATCTCGCTGCCCTCGCCCACCATGCTGCGCCAAAACAGCACCATGCCCGGAGGCTCCGCCTGCCGTGGTCACTGTGGCGCGAAGCGTCCAGCTGAGCCAGGAGGCACCGCGTCCAGCCTCCGCCTCTTCCCTGCCAGAGCCACCCCCTCCAGCCACTGCCCGCCTCCTCCAGCCCTGCACCGTCCCGTCCCAAGAGGCTTCCTCCGTTGGTGCTGGTGTTCCCTCCCTAAATAAAGGTTGACAACCACAGCACCGGATATGTTTAAGACAGCCCTGGACAAAGTACTGCCTGGTTTCCTTTATTATCCTATCATTCCATTTCTTGCCTTTGAAAATGATTCACTAGTTAGGACATCAAGAATCATCATTCTGCAGTTTGAATATTCAGACACTGTATTCCATTTTTGAACATTCAGACACAGATTATTGAAAAGGAGCAGGTCCATAAAGGACTGAATTAAACGCTCATAGATCTTACGTTTTGCACTCCTGGCTTAGCAAAATACAGTACTCTCAATCGTTTAATGGATTAAAACGGACAGTTGAGTATGATTGCTTGGGAAAAAAGAAAAGAAAAAGTGATGTTTTTATTGTTGGTTACTTTATTGTATTTTATTGGTGTATCTTTGTACACTGCTCTGAGAGCCTTGGCTGATGATACGCTAATATATATTCTAAATAAGTATATAAATCATAAACCAAAGGTCACATCCCAAGGAACTCCTTAATGACTTAGTAAGGTATGCTGGCGTTTTTGTTTGGAAGTGAGTTGGGATGACTTACCACTTTTTAGGCCACCCTAAAAGCATCCCACTTTTTATCAGCGGATATAACTGTCTAGCTTAACCATCCAACTTCAAGTATAGTAGCTAACATAAGGGTTTAAAATTACGTTTCATCTGCGCTTAAAGCAGTATCATGCCATTTTAAGCAGTCATGATTTCCCCCCAAAGAATCCTGGGAGTTGTAGTTTGTTAAAGGGACTGAGACTTGCTAGGAGACCCCTATACACCTTACAAACTTGCAGTTCCTAGGGAAGAGGGACATACTGTTAAATCACTCTGGAAATTGCAGCTTCGAGAGGGGAATAAGGGCCTTCTCAGAACCCTTAACAAACTACATTTCCCAGGATTCTCTGGCAAAAGCTTTAAATGTGTAGTGCAGATGGAGCCTTAACCTCACCACCTGCATTGTATAAAGCACCAGGATGCACAGGTGCCTTAAATAATAGTCTGTCATACAAAGTTTAAGGGGGGCCCAAATCTTAAACAAAACAGACCAGAAACAGAAAACTCTGAACCCCAGATACAGCTCAGTTCAGTGACACTTTGTGGCTAAACTCATATAATGACACTGTCCATAAAAAGGCTTTGCGTGCTTCCAGACATGCTATTTTCAGGTGGGATTTCATCACATACCGGCAAATTCAGGTTGCACAATTAAAGTTGATTTAATGCTCTTGCACAGCAAGCCCTGCTTCTCCAAAAGATCAGACTTTTTGCAATAAGGAGAGTGGCAGCAAAATGCACTGCAAAGTCTGGGCTAATGCTTGACGCATTGTCAAATAACCCGCCTCACACCCAAATAAATCAGCATAAAGCTTCCGTAAATAAGCCATCTGGAATCGACTTCTGAATAGTAGGCACAAACAAAAGAGGAAGTCTTGTGCCTTCATGCCATGCCTAGAAGCTTTGTAGAATCTGTATCTGGTTGTTATGGAAAATGGAATACAGGATCAGATGGACTTTGGGACAAATTCAGCAGAGCTCTTCATTCGCTTGCATATTCACTTGAGCTAAGGTGCCTTCACACTGCTTCAAATGTTGAATTTCTAGAGACCTGAGGCAGTGAGCTGATACATAGCTACTCTAGCATGCACTAACATTTTTGAAGGCACCCCAAAAGAAAATGTAGGGACAGTAATTCACCAGAAAGTGGAACTGGATCTAATAAATGGTGATAGCTGGAACATGTTAGACCTGGTCTTTTTGCTAAGATCAAGCGTAGAAGTTGCAAGCTTGCAATGAGCCCCCGTGCATTTTAGTCTGGAATTAAAGCACTGGCAGGTTAAGAAAGAGGAAATGAGTATATACCGCAACAGAACTTTGCATATCAAGGTCCTAGAATTCCACTCAACAACCAACTAACTGAACAACAATGGTGAAAAAAATATGGGAAGTAAAGGGGGAAGTTATGGCACATAGTTTGGCTCCCCTTAATCTCATATTAGGAGTCCTTGTCAACTGATAGTTATGTTCCAGCCACATATAAAAGTGTCTATTTAATCTAATTGTAAATACAGTATATTGCTTTTTTATTCCTCTTTTTTTCTTATTGACCGGTTCCTACATCACTTTGTTTTTTTAAAAAATCCCTGCTGAGAAATACGCTATTGCTGGGAACAACTGCCTTATTCTTGTATATGTTCGTTTCCTTCATATAAGGGAGGCTAATGAAGATAGAGAAGGAAATGCTGGTAAGATTTGTGATGCCTGTTTCATGCTAAATTCTCCTAACTGCAGCCTTGCACAGAATTTACACACTCAAGGATGTTTCTAAGACAAGAGCATGTAAAACCACCTGTATGGTTATTGCCTTTTTATTTGGTTTGATCTCTATTTGATTTCTGTAAAGTATCATCAAGAACAATCCCACAAAATCCCTTATATACAAGCAAGGACACTGAGATTAATAACATTTCTAATCCAGCCTTCATTATTGTTATTTATTAAATTTGTATACCGCTCATCCTCCATAGATCTCAAGGCGGTTCACAAGATAAAATCACAATATACAAACAACAAAACACATAATAAAAAATCAGAACAACAACCGTCTTGCCATGGTGAGCAACCTGCTGCACTCGAATTCTGTGCTAGCTGAATTCATACCACGGGATCCCAGGCCTTTATACTATAATCATACAAAATACCTGAAATACTGTTATGTACTGAGCTGGGTTCCTAGAACAATAGGCAGGTAGGATCCTAGAAGGCAGCAACCTGATTGGTCTGCAGGAGCAGCCCAATCCGGCTCCAGGAGGAAGTGAATCACACGGGACCCATTGTGTAAATAATGTACAGTGGAACCTCAGGTTACAGATGCTTCAGGTTACAAACGCTTCAGGTTACAGATTCTGCTAACCCAGAAATAGTACCTCAGGTTAAGAACTTTGCTTCAGGATGAGAACAGAAATTGTGCGGCGGCAGCAGGAGGCCCCATTAGCTAAAGTGGTACCTCAGGTTAAGAACAGTTTCAGGTTAAGAACGGACCTCCGGAACGAATTAAGTTCTTAACCCAAAGTACCACTGTACTGTATATATAGCCAGAGGATTTGGGGGATAGCACTCTCACTGGTTTACCATGAGCTAAAATAAAGAGCATGAAATCCACACTCAACTCCGAGTATATTTCAAATACAATACATTAAAACCAGTAAGCAGAAGCATAAAACCAAATACAGCAAATACCAGTACTTTATCGAAACATTCTTAACTACAACTACACTCCGTCTCTGCCTAAAGAAAGATCTATTGAGTTGTCAATGAAGACGACAACCATATTTTGACATGGCAGGACCATGGCAGAGAAGACCCAATCTCAGATCATTGCATAATACATAATAGCTGAGCAGGATCTCACCCTCTGTAGATCATAAGGTTTGAACAAGCAGATGAGGAGATGCCCTTCTTCAAATATTTGTGCCCTATGTCATAGAATCATCCAATTGTAGATTTGGTGGGGGTCTGATCATGAAATAATAGAGCAGTACTACTGTTATTTTCCTTGTTCCGGACCCTATATTTCTATTGATGCAGCCTAAAATAGCATTAGCCTTTTCTTGCTGCTGCATCACTCTGCTAACCCGTGTCAAGCTTGTGGTCTACTAAGGCCCCTAGATCCTTTTCACGTGTATTCTGTCAAGCCAGGTGTCCAACATCCTATATTTGCGCATCAGAGAAACGTTGAAGGGTATGCAGAGCTCTTACCTATAAAAGCTCATGCTGCCATAAACTGGCTAGCCTTTCACAAATCCTCGTGTAGCTGCAGGGGCTTCTGAAGACA